GCTGTGATAACCCACGACCTGGCCTGTGGTGGGCCTGCAGTATGAGGTGGCAGTAGAAGTATGTGCTGGAGGAAGAATTTTCTTGCCTGGCAAATTCTTAGGTCTTGAATATTGACCATAATGGTAGTAGGTCCATGTTTGGGGCTCTTTTTGATGACTATACAATTTCACTTCCATTGAGTCACATGATACTGATAGAGGACAGTTGAGTTTGAAGATGTACACTTTATATTCTGTGGCTATCCAATTTTAGAGCTCATTCCAATGAAGCAGGATTAGAAACAACACATTTTAACATTTAACATTTGAATAATTTGCCCCTTTCATAATGTCACCTGACTGAGGAAACCCATGAACAAGGCCAGTGTTTCAGAATGTGATCTCTTAATTGCAGGATTCATCACATGGGACATTTGACTTTTTGTAAGAGATTATACAGAAGTTCCCATCTTGTTTATTAGGATAAAATTCTAATGCTTGTATCTAAAATTGTGTTCAAAGACACCTTGGAGAAACTTGCTTAGTCTGAATTCTTGTTATATATTTAAGGTATCCTCTCCTAACTTCAGATGAATTTGGAGACTCATAAGTGCTATTCTTTTAAATCCTGGTGTAGAATACTTTTTAAAATTACTGTGTGTGTGTGTGTGTGTATATATATATATATTTTTATTTTTTTTTGAGTTGGAGTCTAACTCTGTCACCTAGACTGGAGTGCAGTGGCCACCGCATCCTCGACCTGCTGGTCTCTGGCGATCCTTCCGCCTCAGCCTTCCAGTAGCTGGAACTGCAGGCACGTGCTACCACGCCTGGCTAAATTTTTGATTTATTGTAGAGATGATGTCTCGCCAAGTTGCCCAGGCGGGTCTCGAACCTGCAGGCTCAGGCAATCCACTCACCTCGGCCTCCCAAAGTGTGGGATTACAGGCTGAGCCACTGAGCCCGGCCTTAAATCACTATTTTTAAATCTATTTTTGAATCTTTAATGTGTGCTCATGGTACATTAGATATGGGTAGTCTGTGAATAACAAATCTTTCTCTTTCCTTCTTGAGGAGACAACCACAGTTGCCTGTGAACTATAACCCTCTACCCCCACAGCACATACTATACAGGCAATCTTCATTTTACAAGGCATTGCAGGACTGGACAAATGAATGGGCTAGCTGAAGCCCTGCAAAACCCTTTTAAAAACGATTGGAGAAGATTCCAATTGCTGCATGTCACCTTATTCTCATCCTAAAACTTAATTCAGAGATAGCCTCTTTTCAATACCTCAGCAAACTTTCAAATTCATTTCTAAGTCTACATTGCTATTCAACATTTGATTTGCATTTTCAGTGTGATGAAGTATCTCTGAGAGATATGTTTAATGTGATTTTTTTTTTTTTTGCCAGCATGACTTCCTTTGGGACACCTTTATCCTTTCCATCATAATCACTTTCCTCATTTATGTCCATAAATTCACTTCACTTAGTTCCTCTGGCTGCATATCTAGAATCTGTCAAACAGTAGCAATATTCATACTGCTATGGTTAGCAACTTTTTGTATAACTCCATTTATACTTAGTTCAAATTTCACTTCTAGTTTTATCACTTTTCATTTCTTTTTATATTTGTTGGCCAATTCCTTCCTTCAATGATCCATTTTTCTAAATGTAGTTTTGTAAACTGCCCTATGAATTTACCATTGGGAGACAAGGGGCCGCACCACTACTTGCTTTGTTGTCTGGCATGAACTAAGTAACGAATCTGCAGTGGACGGTCACTATCTGACTTTCAGAGTGACATGACTTTTCTCTGATCATGATACCCATCTATGACTTTCTGATCTAGGGGCTAAAGGGGTAGCCCAGAAGTTTGCATTGTAGACTGTGATTCACAGTTACTATGTCATGGTAACAGGAGCTTGAAATGTGTTGTTGGGAATCTGGTGTTACTTAATGAGGTAACTGAAATTTCTGCATGTCAGAGCCCTGCAAACGATGACTGCCTATGGTGGCAGACCGTATTTTTCAAAAGTGGCACAATAATGTCTCCTATACTATATGCTCTTCTAGACCGTTTCCTCTCGCATATCAAGAGACGGGGTCCTAATTTTCCTCTCCCAGAATCTGGGCAGGTTTGTGACTCTCTGGTCATCCATAGTATGCAGCAGAAGTGACTGTGGTTTCTAAAACTGGGAAATAGAAGACAATATGGCTATGCTTTGATAGTGGAGACAATTTTCCCAAGTTTCAAACCACCTGTTGGCAGTTTGCTCAGGAATCACCATGTTGTGAGGAAGTCCCAAAAGCCCATGTGGAGAAACTACATGAAAAAGATTATATGAATGGATTGAGTTAATATTGCACGGTTGGGCTTTTAGGTTGTTTTCAATCCTTTGCTGACATGAAGAATTCTGCAACACGTCTTTGAACACACTTCATCTTGCACAAATGCAAATGTATGTGTTGGTTAAATTCCAAAAACCAGGATAAATATAAGAGTCAGAAATCACAAAGATTCTTTTTCACACTCCACCAATAAAGTTAGATCAAGTGAGATAAAGAATGCACTTAGTCTTTTACAGATGTATTTGGTGATTCATTTTGTTAGTGAAGTTAAAAGTTACAAGTATTATCCATGCTGATAAGGCAAAAGGCATTGGTAGCTACAATGAAAAAGATGGATTTTGTTGGAGTGAGAAAATCTCTTAGGTGAGGTATTTTATTCTCTGATTTAAAAAGGCATTTTGTAGAAAGATGGCCACATTCCCTGATTAAGAATTTGAATTGCTGTATATTCTTTAATTTCCTTCTTGAGAATACAAACAGTGAAAGAAGAACAGATGGACTGTAGAACTTTTTTTTTCAAGAAAATAAGTTTTAGGGGTCAATTCCGTGGTCAGTATCCATTCATACTTTTTCAGAGATTTTATGTTGTACACAGGTTGTCAACATTTATTAAAAGGTGTTCAGCTCAAAATAAAATCTCATGTATGTGTTACTCACAATGAGAACCTGTCATTAAGAAAAGGTTAAATCACATTGGGTTGAAAAGTGGACTGGATTAAAAAAATGTGGTGCATATATATGATGGAATATTACACAGCCATAAAGGACAAAATTATGGACTTTGCAGCAACTTGGATTGAATTAGAGCCTATAATACTTACTGATCTATCACAGAAACAAAGAACTGAGTACATGTTCTCACTCATAAGCAGACCCTGAACATTTACCATAATACTATACACTGCTGGGAGTAGGGGGGGGAGTAGGGGCCATATAACCTCAATAAGGGTACCTGATCTCAAACCAGGCAAAGTGGGGACCAAAGGGAAGACCAAACTTTACCTTTATGATAACCATTTGTATTCCTAATCCTGAATTGTACCCTACATCTTTAAAATTAAAAAAAGAAAAGGAATCGCCACAATGTTTTCCACAGAAATTGTACTCGTTTACACTTCCACCAACAGTGTAGAAGTGTTCCCTTTTCCCCGCATCCTCTCCAGCATCTGCAGCCTTTTGAGTAATTCATGATGGTGTGCGGGGTGGGGGGACCCACACTTCATCAATAAGGGCACCTGATCTCAAACCAGGTGAAGTGGGGACGAAAGTGAGGCCCAAACTTTATCTGTATAATGATCATTTGTATACCTAATCCTGAATTGTACCCCACATCTTTTAAATAAAATTTTAAAAAATTAAAAAAATGAAAATTAAATCACATTTGATGTAACTTAAGAAAACAATGAAGTTTATCTGACACTTTAAATTGCCATTAAAAAGAGCATCACTTAGCCGGGCTCGGTGGCTCAGCCTGTAATCCCGTGCCTTTGGGAGGCTGAGGTGAGTGGATTGCCTGAGCCCGCAGGTTCGAGACCCACCTGGGCAGCGAGACCTCATCTCTACAATAAATCAAAAAATCAGCCGGGCGTGGCAGCGCATGCCTGTAATTCCGGCTACTCGGAAGGCTGAGGCGGAAGGATCGCCGGAGCCCGGCAGGTGAGGCTGCGGTGGCCCGGGAGCGGCCACTGCCCTCCAGTCTGGGCGACAGAGTGAGACTCCAACTCAAAAAAAAAAAAATAAAAAAAAAAGAGCATCACCACAAATATATCTGTCTTTAGAGTTAACCTGTAGCAATCTAAAAAGTTGCTATCCAGAATGACAAACTTGTGTACCTTGTAGATTTGGAATTCCTTCTTTTAGCTTTCAGTTTTAACTTGACCTTGATGCTAGTGTAATTGAAATTCTGTGCTATATTTTCTTCTCAAGGCAGCTGCACTTGTATATATCTTAGGTCACTGGTGACTAGTTTTCAGGTTTGTCTTAATAGACCCGATAAGGCAGTATTTTAGTTCATGTGTAGTAAAGTTCTGAAAATACTCTAACAAACTTTTGGTCTTTAACTCACCCTCAGAGTATTTGTTTATTAATTTCAGCTTTGTATGCCATTTAATTTTAAAATATGTACTTGGTTTCAAAGTGTTCTGTTTTTCCTCTCTGTTGCATCACTTATTTGGGAGCTTCTATTTTTTGATAATTCGTTATGGTAAGAATGTTCTGCTTGCTAAAGCATGGATGGTCAAAACCCAATTTCCTGCAGATTTAAATCTATCTCAAAGAAGTAAAGTGGTGAATGACCCACCAGAATGTTCCAGTTTCAGACTGTGCATGTGTCACATGTTTGCTGGAATGCAATTTGTGTTTTCTACTTTTTTTTCTTTCCATGTGAAGTACTCTTCTAAGATCTAATCTTTAGTCACTGGGTGACTTTCTTTAAGGGCATCAAAGGAATCTAAGTTATGAAATAGCTGTTATGTGAATACTACAAGCTATCAAAGATCAAACAGAAAGGTCTAAATATTATTTCCAAAGGCAAAATATTCTAACATTCTAAAGCAAAATGAAAAAAAAAATTCACTTTCAGTTGAAGTGATAAAGCCCAAAATATTCATATGGCAAAATGGTGAAAATTAGAAGACCGGCAATCTAAATCCAACATTGGTGAAGTGATGAAGAACATTTACTGGCTTATTCTGAAACTTGTCAATTTTACAACTCTTCGCTGCATATGGATTTCTATGGTACAGTGTACAGTTTTAAACAGCTGCCTGAAGTTGTGTGTAACTAACCTGGTAAGTTTTTCTGCTCTAATATTTGTCTTTGCAGGAACTAGAGCATGTAGAATACAGCTTGTTATAATTGATAGAATTGTTTTCTCTTTATGAGTTTTCTCATGAGAAGTGGCAGCAAGGCAAGAGAGATTGTTTTCCTGTAATAAGTTAGGAGCACTTCTAATTACGGAAGATAAAATAGTTTATTTTGTTTCTTTAAGTTGTCTGGTCATACAATTTTTTTTTTTGGAGGGATATGGAGATTGGGTAAAGGAGGCTTATATGAAATCAATTTTGCACACTTAAAAGTTTCAATTTAAATCCATCTATTCCAAAGTCATCACTATTTGTCTTGGCGCATAAAATAGGTTGGGCCATAGGGTAATGCCTTCTAATTCCAGACTAATGGTAGTATTTAGATTGTGGATGGATTACTGTATAGAAAGCAAGGAGGCAATACAAACAATATTGTATTTTAAAAACAAGAAGTATTTGTAAAACCTTTATTTTTATCTGTGCAATTGTAATTTTTAATTAATAAACTTTTGTTATGGAAATTTGTTTCCTCTCATTTCTGGGTATCATCTTTTCCATATGTATTGTATTATTTCTTTCTAGTTGTAATTTAGTTGTGCTTAAAACAGTCACTGAATCAACTTTAAAAACCAAATACTCACTAGACAGTGAAAGATGTGCTTTTCCTAACCAAAGACAAAGGAAATAGCATGATCATGTACATATGACACTATAAATAGTCATATTTTTAAAATACTGGAAAATACCATATTATTATCATGCTAATTATAATATTAATAATAATTATTGTTGTTATGCTAAAGTATTGGAATAGAATTCTATGCAGATTAAAAAAGAAACTTGTGTTACATATTTTTGGTTTAAGTTGAACTGTAATTTAAAATACTATTTAGAATTCTATGTATAGTAGTATTTTTGCTTAAAGTTTGATATTTTATATAAATCTTTGCTGAAGATTTCATTGCCTTTAATATACAGTTGTGTGCTTTAGTATTTAAAGTTTTAATTCAAACTTAAAGATGGAAAAATGGGACTACTAAATATTTTCTTTCCTGAAAAGATTTTAATTTTTTCTGATTATAATGAGAATCTGTATTTTTGTAAAATATTTATAAGATTGAGAAGACATAGAGAAGGATAAGAAGGGGGGAGAAACTATAATTCCACCCCATTAATCTCTGATTCAATTTTAGTATTTTCTCCTCGTATATAAAAATATATAATATATATTTTTTCTCCTCATATATATAAAACATATAACATACATATATGTTTATATATATGTCTGTGTGTGTGTGTGTATATATATATATATATATATATATATATATATATAAAATACAGAGGGTACCAAAAAAATGTATACACATTTTAAGAAAGGAAAAAACACTATTAAAATTGTAATAGTAAGATGCATACAAGTCACATTTGATTTCTGCAATTACAAGAGGTGCTCAAGACACTTCTGATTAGGGCATCAAGACACTTCTGATTAGGGTAAACATTTCTTAACATCGCTTAAAATGTGTATACATTTTTTTGACACCCTGGTATATAATGTGCGTGTGTTTGTGTGTGTGTGGGTGTATGTGTGTGTATGTGTGTGTGTGTAATACAATTTTACACACAATGTGGACCCAGCTGTTTCATTTTATATTATATTGTGAGTGTTCCCCTATACTCTAAAGTTTTTGGAAATAGGATCTTATTCAGTCATATGAATGGACCATTATTATTTGTTTGTTAATTTCCCTACTATTGAAATTGATTTTGGTTGTTTCCAGTGTTGAAGTCTCCATTTTACTTTAATTTTATTTTGTTCTTATCTTTTTGTGTGGGCTCTTTGATTTCAGAGTTTGGCAGTAGGAATAGACAGTTTGTTCTTTGTTGAGTTGCCTTCCGTTCACCACCTACAGGGAAATGCACAGCTAATATGTGGTGACTGTAAGAGACTCAGTCTGCCAATTTGGCCATCGAATGTGGTACATGTTCCCTCCCTGGGCCTCCCACACAGGGCTGGAGGACAAAGGTGAGGTGGGAGAACAATTAAATGTAGCTATGGAGCAGGGAGAAGATGTGCAAAGTGCCTGAGTTTATTATATTTTCTGTGTGTTTTTTAAACATGGGCACTTGTGTGAAGTTAATCTTTGATTTTACTGGGTGTTTCTTGATATTGAGACTTCTTTTCTATGTATATTTAGCTTTGTGGTGGATGCAACTGAGAAATAAAAGAAGTAAATTATGTAATTAATTAATCAATGCCCTATAGGAAGTTGCAACATGTTTGGGTGTAAAGATTTCTATTACTTTACAGTTAAAACTTACTACAAATATGATGTGTCATATTTTTCATAATATTAGAGGGTGATGGTAATACATTTTTTAAAACTTGTATCTAAAATTACAAAGAAATAAATGGAAAGACCATTAGAAACTGAAGGATTTGGAAGATTGTACTGTTTTTAAAAATAAAGTACAAACATCAATACCTGTCTTGCATAATCAGTATATAACATTAAAATAAGATAATGAAGCAAAACCACAATCCAACAACTCTACAAAATATCCAGAAATTAACATTATATTGGTATAGGAATGGACTGGCCAGTAAAGTGGAATATGATCCAGAAATAAAAACACGTACAGAAGGGAGTTGGAATACAATAACGATGACAATTCAAACCAATGAGGCACTAACCATTTAGAATAAAAAATAAATTCTTACATCAATACCAGATTCAAATAAATGTTAGAAAGTATTTTTTTTTTTTTTTTTGAGTTGGAGTCTCACTCGGTCGCCCAGACTGGAGGGCAGTGGCCGCTTCCGGCCACCGCAACCTCGACCTGCTGGGCTCCAGCGATCCTTCCGCCTCAGCCTTCCGAGTAGCCGGAATTACAGGCATGCGCTACCACACCCGGCTGGCTTTTTTTTTTATTGTAGAGATGAGGTCTCGCTGCCCAGGCGGGTCTCGAACCCGCAGGCTCAGGCAATCCACTCACCTCAGCCTCCCAAAGGGGCGGGATTACAGGCTGAGCCACCGAAACCGGCTAGGAAGTATTTTATTAAAGGCGTGACAAATACAGACAAATAACAAAACCAAAACAAAACAAGAGTTCACCCCATAAAAATATTAGAAAAAATTAGAGGTGAGTGTGTCTAAAATCCTGAAGTGAGAATGCCTTAAGAAGCCTGACTTAAAAATTCCAGCTCCCTAAAAAGCTATTATCAATAAACTTGACTACTTAGAAACTTAAACTGTTATCATAATAAGCAAAATACAATAAAAGCAAAGACAAAAAGTGAAAAAATTTTTGCATATGATAAATAAAGTTTTGTTTTTTTACCACCTTGATATACCTGAAAGCATGTAAAATAAATTTGGAACATGAACAGCCACTTCAAAAAAGAAGAAATATAAATGACTAAAAGCATGTAATAGGTACTCAACCTCCTAGCAACCACAGAATTGCAGAGTAAAAAGAAATTATTAACTTTTCCTCTATCAGACTGGCAAAGATGAAACATTTATAGTCAGAAAAGATATGGGAAAGCTGACACTTTCATGAACTCTTGGTTGGGAGGTAAATTGATAGATTTCTAGAAAAGGAGGGTTTAATACTTATCAAAATTAAAAGGGAAAATATATCTTTAATCCTACACATCAAGAAATGTATCTGAGATTATTGCATAGCTAATCAAATATATTTATGCAAAAGCCTGTTTGTAGTGACTTGGCACACAATACATTTCTAAGTGCTTGCACTGTACTATAATCATTAATACATTTAATTGAATCCTCACAGAAGTTTATGAATTGAGTATTAGTCTACTTATGTCACAGATATCAACACTAATGTTAGACAGCACAGTAACTTTTAAAATATCACACTGGGAGCGAGTATCATATGTGGAATTAAAATGCAGAGCATTCTGTCCTGTTCCATTTCTCAGGGTTGGAGGAAGAATGGGATTAATTCCAGCGGAGGTAGGCAGAATAGAATAGCTTACACCAGGAGATAGGTGTTCAGCTAAAAGATGTAGGACTGAGTTTGTCTTGAAACAGATAACTGGAGCAGTTGGAGCTAGGGTAGACCAGTGGGGATCCTCAGGTCCAAAGTGAGAAATGTGACTCTGGGAGGCATCTGGGGATGGGTTAAGAGGACAAGCTATAAGAAAGGGATTGGCAGTTGTGGGATACTGCCAGGGTTGGGGGTATGGGGGAAACAACTTCAACAAGTGTACCTGATCTCAAACCAGACAAAGTGGGGACTAAAGGGAGGTCCAAACTTTACCTGTATGATCACCACTTGTATACCTAATCCTGAATTGTACCCTGTGTCTTAAAATTAAAAAAAAATGATAGTATGGTACTAAATAAATGAAAGAGTAAAATGGAAAAAAAGAAAAGAGGACACACTGTGGAGGAATCTTCCTGTCTCCTTCAAGTCCTAACTCAGGCAGTTACTACACACCCCTGGGTCCCAGTTGTAAAATGAGGTTAATTATAGCATCTACCTTATAGGGTTGTTGAGATGATTGAGTAAGACTTAGTGTAAAACACCTGTAAGAGTACCTGGAACATAAGAATATTTCAATACATATTAGCTATGATAATTATGAAGAAGAGGATGGATAATTAATGGAGATTAAGAAAGAGTGTTGACAAAATCTGCTTCATCAGAAACTCACAGGCCTGACTCAGGAGCTACTTTGCCCAAGACCACTTAATGGGCATTTCATTCAGTCTGTTAAATTGAATCTTGAGTAGTGCCTTCAGAAGTCCTCATTATTATTACAGTGCAACTTTATACTCATCAGGAAACATCGCTGTCATCCAGTTGTTTAAAATGAAACACAAAAATTACCTAGCATTCCTCCTTTTTCTTTTATGAGCTAACATACATTTTTGAAGGGATGGGAAAAAATTCAATTGTGATTTTTCATCTGATTTTACATGATTGTGATTCAGTCATATAAAGGGGAACACAAACTTCATTTTCAACAATATTAATGGAAACAAAGCACTACTACACATTCGTTTGCAAAATCAAGCTAAAAGATAAAGTTCTTTCTCTCTCACTTTTATTGATTTATTATCAATTTTATTTTAAAGATGTGGGAGACTACAATGAGTTCAGGGTTTACTCCTTTAGCATACCTGTCTTTTATCAAGCACCTATTTCCATCAGGCACTGTTCTAGGTGCTGGGGCTAAAGAGCAGAATGGATGGGTAGGAAGAGAGCCCTGGGTGAACTCAGTGATGGGATGCTCCACTTTCCCCTCTAAAAAGCTGGCAACACGATTTGGGTATTTGCCACTACAGGCCCAATATGTCATCTGCTGTAGGTGCCGTAGACCCTCCTATCTATGAAGGACTCTACTCAAATAATGACCAGGGAGAGGATGAGCAATTTAGAGATTTTTGTCCTTAGTTCTCATTTCTTTATTTTTCCCAGAACAAAAATGATTGCTTAACATTTGAGAATATGTGAGAAATAAACAGTGACCATATGTGTTACAATATATGAATTTCTATTTTCCCTTGGCACTTAATGAGTCATTTGAAAAAAGAAAAATCTGAGCACAATTCTTTAGTTGACTTGATTAATTGACAAATGCCACCAGTTTATTTAATTCTGTGTGAGTATCTTCTCTTGTCCTAACCACTCCAGATAGTCACATCCTCTTTGTAGTACTGGCAGAATTCTTAGACATTACATCTATAATGTGTTTTTGTTTTGAGCTGGGGACTCACTTTGTAGCCCAGGCTGCAGTGCTGTGGCACGATCATGGCTCACCTCAGCCTCAACCTCCTCGGCTCAGGTGATCCTTCCTCCTCAGTCTCCTGAGTAGCTGGGACTACAGATGTGAGCCACCGTGCCACATTAATTTTTTGACTTTTTGTAGAGACAAGGCCTCACTATGTTTCATAGGCTAGTCTTGAACTCCTGGGCTCAAGCAGTTGTCCCAACTCAGCCTTCCAAAGTGCTGGGATTATCGGTACTGCGCCTGATCAGCCCTACATCTGTCATTTGTACCGTACCAACATTTTGTCTGATCATGATGGATTTACTACCTTTAAAACACTTGGCTCCTTACTTTACAGTTACAAGACACTGAGGAGGCAACACTATTCCAGGAAACTTTAAAAATTTTTTATTTATGTATTTATTAATTAAATTTAAAGATGTGGTTACACTGAACCTAATATTGATATCTCGCGTTTACTACCTCCTTCTTCATTTCAGGGCAGGCAGTTTGACATTGGCATACCCTATAATCTGAGTGAGCCGGTGAGTAACCACTTTCACTGTCAAGAATTTTACAGTGATTGTATTGATAAAGAGAGATAATGGTCAGTTTTTTTTAAACAATAAGAATAATTGCTGAGTAAAATATCATTTATTTGTCCTTGCTGCAAGAAAATCAATAAAAAGCACTGAGAAGTCTGAATTATAGAATTTATTTAAAATAAAGTGTATTGAAGAGGAAACAGCACAGGTCTAATGTGATTTTGACCACAGAGCTGTGTGGCTTACTGTTTTACATGCTGAATATGAGGTGCTTGTAGGTACTGAAGTAGGGATGATCTAATAAGCACATGTATATCTGGGTTTGTAGCTTAGGAAGGAGCCTCAGCTCCAGTTACAAGTTAGGGAGTTGTCAATACTCAGTCATCTGAATCTGATGTAGCAGAAAAGCACATGCAAGAAGAACTCAAGGAGTGAGAAGAGAAAAATCTGAGGCAAGGACACAGACACAACAAGGGTGGAGAGAGGAAAAAAGAGATGGCAAAGGAGGCCGAGCAGGAACTGAGAGGAAGGAGAAAGGTATCCACGTGCTACCATGGCCTGTAGGAGGAAAGACCCTCACAGACACAGGCACAAACAAGTCAATCAAGAAGGAAGGTGTCAAATCTATCCAATAGCCGGGCAAGGCAGCTTTGGGAGAATATTTTCAAGGCAGTCATGGAGTGAAAGTCAACTAGTAGACAGCAGACTTCCAAGCTGTCTACCTATTCAGATTTTGACATGTTACTGTCTCGTTGAGTCCCCATTTGTAAGTTTTGCTGTCACTTGAGGATACCCTATGCACCTAGGATACTTGAAGCCACATTGTCCTGGACTTTACCTTTGCCAGTTACACAGTGGACAGTGTATTCCCTGAAGGTTGGACGTTCTCTGAATTCTAGGTCAACCCACCTCGAGTTTATCTCTACTCAGCAACCCTGCTGCCTTGTGGTAAGCCATGCCAACCCCTGTCTGTAAACAGCTCTGCTTAGAATCCCATAGGTCTTGATTCTTTGGAGGCTTCAGATCCCTTGGTAGATTTCTATTTCTAAAACACAGGGTGATACTTTTTGTTACTATATTGCACTTTCAGGTAACAAGAAAAAGTCACATTTCTTTAGCATTCACCATTGTCTGTTATTGTCTCTTACAGTGCATCCAGGGATGTCACTTTTGGAACACTGTAAATCAAGAAAACTGTGCTTTGAAGTGTGTAAGTATTATGCTTCTATTTTGATACTGATGCTTCCTTTCAGAGAAAAGTTATTGAAGAGGATTTCTATTTGCGTCTCCATTGGATTTCAGCTCCTTTGCTTGGCCCTAAAGGAAAAATATGATAGTCATAGTAATGGAAAATAAATAGAGATCAACATTAGTAATACAACTTGGGGTCAAGGAAGGTTAATGCAAATCACAGAACCCAGAGCTGCCAGGGAAGTCCAACCGTTCCAAAACTATAAAGGCCTTTTAGTAGAATGTTAGGTAATTTGTTAAATTTCCTAGACCTGCACTTCTCATACTTTAATAAGCAATTATCTGGGATCTCATTCAAATGCAGATTCTCATTCATTAGGCTTTGGGTGTGGCCTGAGATTCTGCCTTTGTAACAAACTCCCAGGTAATGCCATGCTAGTGGTCCCCAGAGCATGTTTTGAATAGCAGGACCCTAGACCATGTTCCAAGTTTCTTTGCAGGGAACATTATAGCAACTTAATTCAGAAGTCACAAACACCTAGTTTCCTACATTTTATGTAAGAAATACATCCCCAGATACTTTTTGTTTTCACTTAACCTGGCTTTGCCAGTTAGTGTGTAACGTTGTTAAGGTATTTATTTAACCCTTTGGTACTTTACTTTCCTCATCAATAAGTGTGCATAATCATAGAATCTCCTTCTGAAAGATAGTGCCTAACACACTGTAACCACATTGATCTCATGGATAAGATTTTTGTCATTTAAAAGTGGGATTTTTTTGTTGTTGTTGCTCAGGTTAGAGGCTAAATTAGTAAGAGTTTTGGTAACGTTGGGAGAATCCCAATGTCACTTTCTATTAATGAGTTGGATTATAGCACAAGATTTAAATAAAGACATTGACCTCTCCTTATATATGGTCTTCAGAGTTTTTCTTTTATAGTATGTTCTCGCAGACCTCCATACACGGGTGACTTCTGCCTGCTCCCACATTTGTGACTGTGTGCCTCAAAGAATGAAAGTTCTCAAAGGGTAGGGCACATGCTATCTGGAATTAGCAGTTATTATGTTTTTTACAAATTGTCACTCAAACAATCATCTGTCTAGTTGCACATTTAGTACCTTTTAACCCAACATGTAAGCTTCATCAGGGCAGAACACTCTCTGTATCTCTTGCACTGAGCAGTGCGGGATACAGAGCAGCTGCTAGGTCAACACTTGTTTAGGGAATGAATCGAGGTACCATTTGCAGCCAGACAGCTAGCCAGGAAGCTGTGTGGATGCTAGATGGGTCAATCTGAGCAGAGGACTCTGCTGGCCTTTGCTAGACATTGCTGTTGGTGGTTTTCATTTCTGGTTGTATATCCCTTGTATATCTGCAAACATCCCTTCTCTCTCTAACCTAGAACGTCATAGATTATCTCTTGTTGGCTGTGATTTTCCAGTAGACATCATGTGCTACCATTTTCCAAGTGATACAAACAATGTAATTTTTAGAGTTGATTATTTAGTGGCCTGCCTGGACAAATGGCCCAGTTCTGAGCTCCATTGCTTTGTTTTTGTTGCTTGTTTATCAATGGTGGGGCAAGAAGTTAATTTAGAAGAAGTATACAGCTAAGTGTAATTAACATTATGTATATCTCTCAGGATTTTAAGTAGTTTTATTTTTTTTCTACACAGAATGATACCTATGGCACAGTTTGTGAGGTGAGTTGGCAATCACAAAAGCAATATCATCAAACCATGTGTCTTTACCTCTGGCCTTTAAAAGTTGATTAAAATAAGAGTGAAGAATCCTGAGGTATTCTCAGTACACAGAAGCATTCTTCCTGAAAGGGTTATTACCCTGGGTATAAAAATGACTGTGTAATTTCATTTTTGCACAAATATTTGCTGTTTTATATATGTCTGTGCATATATAATATATAAAATACACATATATGTGTGTGTATACATTGACATATATACATATGTGTTACTCTAATCTGCTTTGAAAGACTGTAATTCCTGGAGCCTGGGCAGGGTGGGAGTGAGTTAAGGATGGTGGGAGGAGGAAGGAAGGTGCACATCTAGGGATGTATCTGCTGATTCCCTTTCCTTCCTCATAATGTATAATGCTCTATCAGTAAATACAGCACATTAAAAGAGAGTCCTTTAATTGCATTTTTCTTTTTTACTTAACAAAGTCCTTTGCCAGTGTTTTAAAACACATCCCATGACTCCCACCAGCTCTGATAACAAGTGACATTTCACACAGCCTCTGGTTGGCCTGTCCGGGCCTCCCTGTGGTCCTCTTAGCCTCTGCTGCACTTGATTTTCTCCTCTCCTTCAGAAAGACCTTGACATTTTGATCATCTCCTATCCAGTCTTCAACTGAGCTTACCTGTCATGGACTTCATCCCCTCAGAATAAGGTTATTTGACAGTAGATGGTATGAAGAAGCAACATTATTTTTCAGTTTAAAATCCTATGTTGGTTGGGTGTGATGGTGTGCGCCTGTAGTTCCAGCTACTTGGGTGACTGAGGCAAGAAGATTGCTTGAGCTCAGGAGTTTGAGTTCAGCCTGGGAAACATGTGAAACCCTGTCTCTAAAGAAAAAAATTAAAATATGTGTTGTATTTTATTTAGATATCTTTGAAGCTTGTGAGCAGAACAATCTTATCCCACCTGGAGAAGGAGTATAAATTATCATCCACTAGTACAGAAAAATTCCCTCTTAGTAGAGAACAAAAAAAAAAACCCATCAAATTGACATGCTTTCTCAATAGTGGTTGGTTATTCTGCACTTCAGCAGTTTTCCTTGGGAGTGGGTGGAGGTGGGAGTTGAATAAAAAGAGATGAAGCCGAGGAGAAAAGTTGCCCATATGTAAATAGACAAAATTCTCTCCTGATTGAGATGAAAGCAAAAACAAAACAAAACAAAAAACTATCTCAGAATGCTTTTATGTGATTCAAGCAAAATTACTCTCAAAGAACAGTCCCTAGAAGGAATGTAGCAGCGTCAGAAAAATTGAGAGAAAGTCTCTCTGGCACTGAAGTCATCCAGGGTTGGATTTGGTACGTGAGGATTCCTTGGAAATTACTGTTCAACCCAGTAGTCTGCTTATATAATAGAAATCTTTCCTCTCAGTGTTGTAATTTACATAATTATTCTTTTCTTTTGTCTTTGTACCTTGCTATTTTACACCTTAAAATGATGTACTTCCAATGGAATAGAACTGAACAAGGATTCATGTAGTATGGATAGATACATAGAAAGATATTTCAACTCAGTTGACTATACCTTTAGGAACTCACACTCTTTAGTCATTGATGGTTCAATCTAGGAGGCTTGGAGTTTTTGTAATTCACATTCCTTGGAGGGAATAGTCTTGAAAGTGATAACTTAGCAAAATAGAACTTGGAAAAGTGAGATAGCTTATCTCATCATTTAAAACACAAATTACATGTTATCATTGGATCTCTGTCTGTGGCTAAGATCAGGTATAGAACTTATTGTTTCTGAATGCCCTCTTTATGGCTTTCTATTGCAATTTGGAAAAAATTACAAATTACCAAGGTCTACTGGTTCTGCTACTTCCCACTCTGACTTATCTTGCACCCCCAACCCTAGTTCTCTGTGCTGGCCACACTGACTTTGCCCTTTTCTTGGCATAAGAGGCCCATTCCTGCCTCAAAGCTTTCCTCCTGCCATTGCTTCTGCTCCTGTTCAGACATCTGCAATTCCAGCCTCTTCTGAGGTCTTGGTTTTGGCTTGAGGGTCGCTTCCACATAGTTCTTCCTGATCCCTCCAATAAAGACAGTCTCCTGCCTGCTTACTCATGTCTGTGCCTTTGATTTGTTTTATTTTCTTCCTAGCAATTTTCACTATCAGGACTTTTTAAAAATTTGTCATTCAGATGTTGTCTATCCTCTTCTAAGAGAGTACAAATTCCCCGAAGCCAGATAACTTACCTTTCTTGCTCACTGCCAGATTCTTAGAGCCTAAAACAGTGCTTGGCACAACGAAGTCCAAATGTTCAAGTATTATTGAATGATTAAATGAATAAAAAAATTTTAAGGAAACAATGCCACAATTCATATGGAGGTTGGTGGGTATGTCTTCCTTGTGTTACAGAAGTGAGAAAAGACACTGGCATCACATGTGCCAGTCAGGGAAACCAAGGGAGGAGCCAGAGTGATAATAAAGATGGTCTGACTACAATGGGAAAAATGAGAGTGTGGATGAGGACAGAAGCCGCAGGTTGGTGTGGCCCCTGAGAAGAGTAAATTTGGCTTCTACAGGGGAAATGGGAGCTCAGTAACCTGGCATATGTCATATAAATGTTCCATTCTGGGTTTTGGGCTAAGATTCTGTCAATTCCTTGGATCTAATCACTTCTAGATTCTCTCTAGGCAATTTGAACTTGAGAAACACTGGATAACCTTATTTGAAGTCCAATGGTGAATTGCCTCCCTTGGGTGGAGAGATGGAGAGATGGGGGAGGAGGATAAGGGGGGGAGAGAGAGAGAGAGAGAGAGAGAGAGAGAGAGAGCAGAAAAACTTGGTAGTTTTGCCTCCACTTGAGATAACATTGTAACTCCTAGATAGATGTGATTTTTATTATATATTATATGTGTTTCCTAACACTTCCCCCCCCAAAATAAACAACAACCCAACCAGGGCCACAATTTCCCCTGGTTGTCAGGAATAGCGACATTTCTAAATCATCTATATTTCCAAATATGACCCTTTCTTCCTCAGTTTTCTTTCTTGAAAAAAAAATCTCATGTAATATAATAATTTTGTTGTCACTTGGTTTGTTTATTCTCTGCAGTTAACAAATATGTTGAATGCATTTCACTAAAATTTGCAAAGAAAATATGAAAAATATCCTAAACTTTTAAGTTAAATAAGCCTGAGCCCAAACTAAGGTACTTAAGTTAATCTTTAAGCAAATCTGGGCTTATCAAGCCCCACTTCCTGTCAGTGCATAGTTCAAACACTGGATTGTTAGTATTTACAAGGTACAAACCTTCTTTTTAGGGCAAATGTATTAATTATGCTGTTGTTTCCACTATTATGAGAATTATACTTACGAATAGAAAGAGGGCAGGATGGCATTATTATGATTGTGTTGTAGTTTTAATGTATGCCTTTTCTTTTTTTAAGTTTTAATAATATATTTAATTTAATTCAATATACTCCAAATATTATCAAGGCAATATGTAATCAATATATAAACTATTAATGAGATATTTTATCCTTTTTTTGAGATAAGGTCTCCCTCTATCTCCCAGGTTAGAATGCAGTGGTGCTCATAGCTCACTGCAGCCTTGAACTCTTGGGCTCAAATGGTCTTCCTGCTTCAGCCTCCTGTATTTCTATGTGTGTGTGTTTTGCAGCCAAAGCTGATGCATCTAATTGGGGTCACAAGAAATTTGTGTTCAGTCATCAAGCTGTGTACTCTGCTTTCTGTTAATGAGATAAAATGTTAATCATTATTCGTTTTCACATATCGTAAAATTCAGCATTGATATTAAGACATCCATTAAAATGTCCAGCTATTATGAAATTTTATAGACAACTTTTAATTTTCCAAGAAAGGCAAAGATATACAAAATTGTCCCTAAGCCTCATTTGAGGCTAGAATTTTGGAATTTCAGCTCATCAAAGCTTTAACCAAAATGGCAAACGTGTAGTTGTACTGTTGAGCTCAATGTTTTTTCACATTATGGGGTGTGACCTTTTAGAGGATTATAAAATCAATTCTATGAATCAAAAGTCACATTAAACAAAAGGAAATTGAATAGAATGGAATAGGACTGGACATGTAAGAACACGGCACAGGTACAGAGTTGCTTTTTAGGATGGTGAAAATGTTCTAAAATTAGATTGTGGTGATTATTATACAACTCTGTGAATATACTAGGAACTATTGTACTGTATGCTTTAAGTAGGTGAGTTTTATGGCACATGAATATATCTCAATGAAACAGTTATCAATGGGGAAAAGTGTGAACTGAGTTGTTTTATTAAATTATTTTTTGCTGTGAAACATGGCCAAAAAATTTGGGAAGCACTCCTCTAAGGAAATTTATTACAGTTGAAATAGTTGACATAAAGATAAATCTGTAATCAGGCATTCAGATATCAAAATGTAGTTGAAGCTTATCAGCAAAACCAGTGCCAAGGCCACACTGACTGGCATGCTATCCATCTTCCACAGCGAGAGTCATGTGAGATTGGCTGCAGCAGTGCGGAAGGTGCATATGAAGAGGAAGTACTAGGTAAGAAGACACTACAGCAATTGTTAAATAGTATACACCACTTTAGGGACTTGTAATTATGTAAAGATGATGACATTACTCTAAAAATAGCTAGACTTCTACATCTCAGTAGGACCAAAAACATGTGTTTATAGAGAAAATGCAATAATTTCAAATGTGGAGACCATTCTGATAAAGATTCAGCAAGTCCCTTTTAGAGCAAAGCAGAGGAAACATGGCACATGACTGATGTTTAGGACTAGATTTTGTCCTTATGTTCAGTAGGTACAATCACTTTTATCTTAAGGAGAGACGAAGGTACATTCTGAGAAGATCTTTGATATCAAGGAATGCCACTATTTTAATGAACTCAAAGTATTAGGGATATTTTGTTTAATGTGCATTTTATTATTCAGTTAAGTTATTCAATAGAGTGCCTACTATGTGCATGGTTTCCAAAAGGCCCTAGGAATATATAAAATGTATCAAAGCTCTGCTTCTCAGTATTAGATTTTGAGTAAGTAGGGGACTTGGGTATATCAAACTTCTATCTGCCTGATTTCAGAGTAGGTTGGACGTGTCTAGGTGGCTTTGCCCTAGAATGTTAATTCTCTAGTGAGTCCTGAAAGGCCAAAACTTTGAAAAGGCATAACCTGGATGTTAGCATAAATCTTTTCCAGAATTTCCTAGGGTATGCTCCCACTGAGAGATAGATAGCTCCTCCCAGACCAGAAGATGCTTGACACTTCCATATGATGTTTCTGTGTCTGACTTCTTGCTCAGTGGCTGATGTAAATTGGAAGAAAGATCTAACCTTGCTGTCCTGATTTGCTTCTGCCCTTTAGTGTCCTGCAAAAGACCCTTCTTGATATTTCTGTGGAGAGTTCGTGATATATATTTTTTATTCTTTGTCATGGGAGTTAGCTGTGGAAAAATGTATTGCTGTGGTTTCCAAACTGTGCACTGGTGTGCCCCAGATCATCACAGTAACCTCATGGGGCACCATGGGGTACTTTAAACACTTGAGGGAAACTCAGGGATGGTTGGCATCTGTTGTGTTGGACATTGCCAAATCTACTGGTTAGAGGCAGTTCACAGTGTAAACAATAAATTGTACTACATTTCTTTTCATGCTACCATATATTTGCAGTGCTTTTTTTTTTTTTTGTAATTGCCGTGATAATAAGCAACTACCATGAGAAACTGAAGACGGAATAAGGAGGGAGAAAAGTGATGTCCAGCCTGATTACAAGATTTGAGAAGCTGTGTCGTGCCCAAGAGGCACACAGATCTCATTAGTATGCAGTTGTTTGTATTTAAAATGAAATAAATATGTAAATTTGTCTTTCAACTTATGTGTTCTAAGTTGTTAGAACACACATACTTATTAAATTATAATACTTTAAAAAATGAAACTGTTAGGTAATTCTTCTGGGCCAGGGAACCATAACAAAAATTATAGACAATCTAAGGACAGCAGAACTGAGGAAGTTCGGAATCTTTGGTTTAAATCCTTTTCTTATTTTCTAAAATTATACTAACAATTTTATTATACAATTTTGTTTCAATACAAGTGTAATCAATGCTTTATTTTTCATTTCTCGTTGGTTGTGGATCAAATTCCATGTACTACTAACACATGAAATATATCAAGTCTAAATAAAGGCGTTTGTGCTTACAGAACATATCTGCAGTCTGTTATAGTTAATCTTTTCACTTATGCACCTAAGCCCCTGTTTGTCCCTAACACATCTGGCACCCGGTCCATTTATCTATAGGTCTGCTAATTACTTGATTTAGATATCCTCCATGCCCCTTTCTATGTGGTGGAAAATTATAATAGGCAATAATATATTAAAATAAAAATAGGTATTTTATTAGCTATTCGTAAGTCAGATATTACCCTCATTAATTTATAGATATTAGTTCCTTTTGTCTTCAGGGGTAAATATGATTATTAACCTCATGCTACAGGTGAGAAAATTGTGGCACAACATTTAAATACATGCTTTGGGCTGCATAGCTAGTAAGGGATATCACTGGAATTCTAACCCAGCTATCTGGCTGCTGAGCCTTTTCTTACCCACTCTGCCATGGATTGAAACTAGGATGTAGCTCAGTCCAGCTTTTCTTTCTCATTTGGCTCACTCTGGCCTCGATGCTTCAGAATACTTTACCTCTATTTTTTTACATATGTATCACCATGGCTTTGAAACACGTGTCTATACTTAGGTATGAAATTTACATTTACTTGTACTTAGGTAACTCTGATTGCTTCTGCTCATTTCTCACCCCATGCCATTTCTGATGCTTCCTGGTTATTCTTCCTTACTCTGCTGACAGCTCCATCATCAGACTCTTCTTCAAGGTGACCACAGTACATACAAATCCCTGCTATCCAGAGTCTCACACCATAATAGAGTCTCACACCATAAAATGGAGCTGTGCTTTGATTATACAGTTGTATAAGCCAAAAATGAACTACAAATAAGAGAATCAGCAGAGAAAGGTTGTGTCAGGTCTCTCCATGAAATAGATCTTCAGGTGATAATGGTTTTAATTTTTCTAGATTACAGACTATGAGCTTTAATTAGTCCATATCCAGTATCTGTAGTGATGTGAATTCTGTCCATTTACTTTTAACCAGAAAGAATGAGGATCTGGGAGTTTGTAGTTAACCATCTTAAACTCCCTATCAAATTTACCATGCTTTCTCAACCAAAGTAGTGATTTGTTTCTATAAAAGAAAGCTGAAGCATTACATTTATTACAATTTTGTAGAAAGAGAAAAAAGGAAAGTAAAATTATTTCATCCCAGTGAGTTCATCCCATTCTGTAATATAGCTCCTAGCACAGTGCCTGGCAAGAAGTACCATAAATGTGTGCCTCCAATTATATGAAATGTCTCTAAAGTTTAGAAGGCATGACATATTTTATAATGTGAAACAGAATCTGAACATAGAATCTTTTGGAGTAAATGAAATTACTCTGTACATATAAAAATCATTTGTTGACAACATGGACAATCAGAGTAGAATTATAGTATAAAATTTCAAGACTATCTTGTGGTACATGTCTCAGGACAATGGATAATTCTGTTACGCCATAGACATGCTCTTGGCGTTTAGCCCCCTCACCTGTGAGGGAATAATATTGTCAGAAAACTGGACAGCTCAGAACACTCTATCATCAACCTGTTAACAACAACATCATCAACAACAAAAATACTGTTTAAAGACAACAGTGAATTCTGTGGGAAAAAGTGTTGCCAGACTGACTTTGAAAAATAAATCAATTGAATGTGTGCATTATTTGTTGTTCAGGCAAGATATAGTTATAGTAAGAGAATGCTGAGAGCCCAAGGTGACGCAGGCACAATTTCTCCTGCTTTGATGGACAGGAGTGCATGGTGAGTGGAATCTTGTTTTCTCCCCAGAAAATGCAGACCTCCCCACTGCACCCTATGTGTCTTCCATTGGAAGCCATAGTGTGGCATTACGATGGAAACCGGTCAACATCTCTGGAGTAAAATATATTGTGCAGTGGAAATATGCACAACTTCTGGGAAGCTGGACTTATACTAAGGTATGAATGACTGCCTTTGTACTTAAGCACAGATTCCCCCCCACCAATTAAAGTAAGTGGTAAATTACTGCATATAATTATATATATACACACAGGCATCCTAGCAAAGATTCAAGTGTAAGATGAGTGTTTGGATTAGATTAATTCTCTGCAGCAAGCTAATGCTAAACCCTCTATTTTATAAGAAAATATCATATTGGACATATACACTATTCCTTCAGCACAGCATCATCCTGTTGCTCATTATCTGCCCATTTCAGCTAAAATATTCCAACTAGAATGGAAGACAGGAGGGAGATTCTCACAGGGAGTTGTTCTAATTTAGATGTTCTATCTAGGGGAGTCATCCAGGACTGTACCCTTTAGGGAAGTATAAGAAAATTCAGAAAAAAAAATAGTGCCGAGATACAAAGTGTATTAACATAGAAAATTTTAAGTAAATCCTTGAGGTAAATGACAAATGATTGAGTTCATCATTTTGCAATTTTGAAGAAGAAGTTAATTTTGAGTCTGTCAGGCCCTGGTGGCCCAATATCCAAAAGACCACCTGTCTTCTACAAATTCATCTGTGCTCTTGAGTCCCAGTGTATGGTGGTGATTCTTTAAATGATGATTATTGATCTTTCATTGATCTAGACTGTGTCCAAGCTCTCGTATGTGGTCAAGCCCTTGCACCCCTTCACTGAGTACATTTTCCGAGTGGTTTGGATCTTCACAGCTCAACTGCAGCTCTATTCCCCTCCAAGTCCCAGTTACAGGACTCATCCTTATGGAGGTATGATGTGCACACATTGCTCACGAAGAAGGACACGATCTGAAGCTCTGTTTCAGTTTGTTTTTATTTTAAACCATGAAATAAAACTATTCCCTCCATTCAATTGTTGATCCATTCAACAGTTAAGTACCTATGTGCCAGTAGTGTTCAAGGTGCTTACAATACCTCTGTGACCAAAACAGGCAATGATCCCTGCTCCCGTGAAGGGCACATGTTGGTGGGAGAGGCATACTCTTTGCAGTACACATAAGAAATAAGAAGAGTACACTGTAAGTGGGATGGTGCTGTGTGCTAGGGAAAGAAGAACGTTTTGAGCAGAGTTTGTCCTTTAGGGATTGGTAATAGGAAGTAAAGGGAAGGAGAGGACAATTACAGTGTTAAATAAGGTGGTCAGTGTAAGTCTCACTGAGCTGGTGGGGTGAAGTTTGAGCAAAGACTTAAAGGAAGTGAGAGAATCCTCAAAGCAGATGTCTGAGATCTAGCATTCCAGGCAAAGGACTGGTCCATGTGGAGCCCATTGAGGCAAGAGCAGCCAGGAGGAGCAGCGTGGCTGGAGCAGAGTGAAAGCAGCAGAGGAGGATCAGCCAGGGTCAAAGAAGTGGTAGGGGCCAGATCACAGTCCATCTTGGAGATCTGGGTAGGAACTGTGGCTTTTATTCAGAGTGGAAGGAGAGTCTCTGCAGGGTTTTGAGCAGAGGAATTACATGATCTGCTGTGACTTGCCTTACACCTTAAAAGGATCACTCCGGCTGTTTACAGAGAGTGAACTGTGGGGATATGGGTGGAAGCAGGGAGGCCTGGTAGGAGACCATTGTGATGACCCAGGTGAGAGAGGCCAAGGGGTGGTCGTAGAGTGGAAAGATGTGTTTGGATTATATTTTTATTTCTTGATATAATTTTTTATTATTTTTGAATTTTAATATATATTCATTTTATTTTTAAAATGTGGGGTACAAATGAGGGTTAGGTACATACAGGATCAACATACAGGTAAAGTGTAGGTACCCTTATTGATATCATGTGTCCCCCCTGCCCCACTGGGCAGTGTCCCACTACTGCCAATCCCTTTCTTATGGTATTATGATAAATGTTCAAGGTCCACTTATGAGTGAATACATGTGGTACTCAGATCTTTGTTTCTGTGATAAATCATTGAGTATTATAGACTCTAATTCCATTCAGGTTGCTGCAAAGTTCATAATTTCGTTTTTCTTTTTGGCTGCATTATACTCCATCATGTAAATGTACCACATTTTCTTTATCCAGTCCACTTCAATGGGCAGCATGGTTGGTTCCATGTTTTTGCTATTGTGAATAATGCTGCAATAGACAGGCATGTGCAGGTATCTTTATTGTAGAGTGATTTGAGTTCCTTTGGGTATATTCTCAGGGGGAATTGCTGGGTTGTATGGAAGGTCAATTTTCAGATTTTTTTAGAAATCACCACACTATTTTCCATAGAGGTTATACTAGTTTGCATTTCCACCAACAGTGTTAAAGTGTTTCCTTTTCCCCTCATCCTCTCCAGCATCTACTGTTTTTTGAGTTATTGGTGATGGCCATCCTGACTGGAGTTAAGTGGTATTTCAATGTGGTTTTAACTTTAATTTCTTTGATGATTAGTGAGGCTGAGCATTTTTTCTTGTATCTGTTGGCTACTCGTATGTCTTCTGAGAAGTGTCTATTCATATATTTCTTGATATAATTTTTAGTCCTTTTGTTGCCTACGTTATAAACTTTGGCTGTGTAACAATAACATGTGGAAAAAATTCACCTGGTTTTTTTTTTTTTTTTATTGTAAAGGAAGATTGGGTACTTTTTTCATTCATTCAACAAATTATTATTATTATTATTATTTAATCAGGTTCTCACCACTCTGTCACCCAGACTGGAATGCAGTGACACACTCACGGCCACTGTAGCCTTGATTTGCTGGGCTAAGGTGATCTTTCCACTTCAGCCTTCCAAGTAGCTAGAACTATAGGCATGCACCATCATGCACAGCTACTTTTTTTTATTTGTTGTAGAGATGATGTCTTGCCATGTTGCCCAGTTGTCGCCATGTTGTCTTGAACCCGTGGGCTCAGGTCACCTCTGTCTCCCAAAGTGCTAGGATTATAGGTGTGAGCCACTACACCCAGCCTCAACAAATATTTTTAAAGCACCCACTTACACTAGACATTGTTCTAGGAACCAATGATAAAGTCCTAAAAGTCATGGTGTGTACATTCCAGCTGGAGGAGACAATTAGAGAAGAAATGAAGTGAATGTATTGTTAGGTTGTGAGGGGACCCAATCAGTAGCATCCCTGTTTCTGGTCTGAGGTCTGAATCTATGAAAGTTAAAGCAAAAGGGTGAGCAGATGGGTGTAGAAATGTCATTATTTCTGATGAAGACCAAGTCAGACAATGTAGCTTAGCATGAACAAAGGGAAGAAACTGCCAACTCCCTGCTACCAGCTTAGATTTTAGAACAAAACACTGAAGAGAAACATTGAGTTTGTTGAGCAGACATGACTGCCTTTTGTTAATTTTATAAGAGAGGAGGTATAAGGAGACCAAATCACTTCTTTCCAGACCCGTGAATCATTACCTCCACCCCACAGAGAACTGTGACACCATGGCTGCTGCTACCAAGCAGGGCTCGCTCTTCTCAATGGAAAGGAATGGAGTGGGGTGAGAGGCAGGGATAGGTACACAAAATTCATGGGTAGATGTAGCATGAGGAAAGAGGAAATACAGTGTAGTTTCACTATATTTCCTGAGTGCTAAGAAGAAAAATAAAAGACAGTAATAGCATCTGAGGAGGAGACTTTTTTTTTGGATGGAGGGTTGGTTGGGGAATGCCTTTTTGAGAATGACATGTGTGCAGAGCTTTGAAAGACCTGAGACAGAAGGCATGCAAATGTCCGGGAATGAGTTTTCCAGGAAGAGGGAAGAGCAAGGACAGAGGGCCTGCAGTGGCAATAAGCAGGCCATCTTTGAGGAACAGCCAGAGTGCATGGAGTGCTGTGAGTCTGGTGGAGAGTAAGAGACGGGATCTGATAAGCAGCCAGAGGTCGTGCCATGTAGGGTTACATAGACCCTGGTACAGAGTACAGATTTGGTTCCAAGTGTGACAGCAACTCTTTGGAGAGTTCTAAGTAGAAGGGAGGGTCTGGTTCATGTTTTAAAAAGTGGTTGTTGCATGGAGAATAAACTGGTGGTGGGAGGTGGGTTGGGGGAGCCAGGGAGCAGTTAGAGGGCCAAGCAAGTCAGGATGATAGGTTTGACTAGGGTGGTTGTGGTAGAGAAGGGGAGAGGCTGACAGGGTTACTGAAGGAGTTTTGTGAGGAGGATGGAGGATTGAGCTTGCCAACTTGGACTTTCAGTCTGAATATCTGAGTGTTACCTTTTCCTTAGGGGGAAAGATAGAAGAGGAGTGACTTCTCTTGAGAAAAGTCAAACATTCTGTTTCAGCCAAGTAGAATTTGCTGTGCCTGTTAGACATACAAGTAGAGTTGCCTAGAAGGTAACTGAATGCATTGATTTGGAACTCAGGAGGTAGGTCGGAGAAATCCAAATACCTACTTAGGAGTCATCAACACAGAGCTGTGATTTCTTTTTTTTTTTGAGTTGGAGTCTCACTCTGTTGCCCAGACTGGAGTGCAGTGGCCGCTCCCGGCCACCGCAGTCTCGACCTGTTGGGCTCAGATGATCCTTCCGCCTTAGCCTTCCAAGTAGCTGGAACAACAGGCGCGTGATACAACGCCCGGCTAATTTTTGATTTATTGTAGAGATGAGATCTCGCCAAGTTACCCTGATTTCAAACTAGGGGCCTGGAGGTGAAGCCTAAGAGTGAATATGGTTGAAAAAAAGAGAGAGTCCAAGTGTCAACACAGGGCACCAACACTTGGTGGCCAGGAAGAGGAGGAGGGACACTTGAAAAGGAAAAAATCCAGAAGTTTGTGGTGCCTCAAAGTCAAGTGATGAAAGCATATACAAAATGAGGATGACTGAATACAACACAGTCACATTATCTCTGGGAAGCAACAAAAACTTCTTTTGGGCTAGATTCCAACTTCACCATTTTCCCACTCTTTATTCAGAATTCTGTCTTAGAATAAAACTTTAACTAAGCTGCCATCTTCTGAATACTAGTATATTCTTAGAGCAATACTAGTTCTAAATAAGTGTTATTGTCCCTTTGGTCAAAACGTATTCATGGGATATCTAATAAGTACATGGATACTGCCTTTAGGAAGCTTACTTTCTTGTAGAGGAGATAAAGCACATGCTTAACTGACCCCATAAGAAGGTAACACTTGATTAAAAATGTGGGAGAGGTATGGACAAATTCCTGTGGACATTCAGAGGAGGGAAATATTATTTCTGGAATAAAATATCAAAGATACCTCTCTGGAGAAAACATCAATTTTTTGAGTTAGACATGAGGTGAGGAGAGGAAAGGGCAGGGCAGGTGTCTGCATGAGCCAAGTCACCAGAACTGAGTCTGGAGGGAAAACAGTGAAACTTCTATCTGCTGGAGAACAGGACACAGGAAGAAAAACTGAGAATAACATTGGGAAGACACACTAGGTCTAGCTTACCAAAAGTCTTACATGCCCAGGGTGAGGAGCTTGGACTTTGTTTAGAAAGCAGTTAGGAATTCTAGAAGGTTTTAAAGCAGAGGTGTAATTGCCTCACAAGCTCCTCAAAAAGGGAATTTTGGAAATTACATATAGAATAGATGGAGAGAATGAGAGAGATTGGAAAGTACTATTTATTGCACAGACCAACTAGGAGGTTATTAACATTTTATCAGAGATGATTTTATTAAAATAGTGCATATATCAGGGCGTTCTCTGATTTCTTCTTTAGAGATGTGACTTTCATACCAGGAAAAGGACTCAAGCCTTGAAGTCTTATGGGGAGGTGAATGCTGGGGCAGATATTCAGGGAATTTTTTCTGGTGCCCTTGTCCTCAGAGTTGGTTTAGGCAATCTGGGAAGATTTGTTCCAGGCTGGATGGATGCCCTATACCAGTTCTGGAGATGTGGCCATGTGCAGAGAGCCTCAGGTTGAACTAATCCTGAGACTCAAGCACAGCTGAGTGAGCCGCTGGTGAAATTGGTTGGAGTATTTTCCCCCTTCCAAGTCTTCCTTTTGCTTATAAGATCTCAGGGTTTGTGACTACCTTTACTGATTATTATCTGGTCATCTTTGATTGGAACTGCACGTCAGCCACTGACCTAGGGCCATGTTTGAAACGTTCCAGATCAGAGTGGAATGCATCATTCTTTGCTCCAGCAATGGCTCATGTACTCCAACAGGGTTGGAACATTTTCGAGAGCTGGAGAAATACCATGCAGGGTCATGGCTAGTCAAATCAAAATAATGAAGAAGGCAACTTTTGCTTTCCATTTCTGGGTCTTTCTCTTGGTTATGAAACCTCACATACCCTCTAGTCTTCCAGACCCTACACTGAGTATCTTTTCTATGGGTAGCATTGCATGCTTCTGATTCCTTCTCACTTTTCTAGTCACTTCAAAAGTTAACCTGTTTTGTGTTCATTGCTTCATAGCCCTATTCTCTTTTAACTGTGGGAATTATATACAATTTTACATTGTGTTATTGCCTTTAAACTGGGACATTTCAGAAGATAATTTCTTAACAAAAAGGATTGTTATGCAAAGAATACCCCCCAATGATTTTTTTGGGGGGAGGGAAATATTTGGACAATCATCACATCTTATAATATAGGTGTCATTTAACTTGCTTGTACTCTAGCAGATCAAGTTTTGGTATTGACTCCAGCAGGTTAAGTTTTTTGACATCCTGATTCTATTACAGTGGGAGAAATTTCTTTCTTTCCTGTTCAGGGTGACAGAGAACATGGAGCACAGGAGTATTGCAATGATGTTTGTGTTTGCTGAAAATTAAACTGGAAGTTGGAGAGGAATTGTATATCAGAGAAAGGCTGAGAGACCAACTAAGAGGCCTTTAAACGTCGATCCAGTGTGAGGGCTACGTTGTCTCATTTTTCCCAACTCTAAGTCAGTGGAGACACAGAGCATTTGCCAACAGTGTTCAGAGGGAAAGAAGAGCACAGTGACATCAAAGAGCAAAGTGTCACTCAAGAGCAAATCAAATGTGTCTTTCATGAAAAGAGGAAATAAAAGAGTATAGTTCCAGAGGTTCTGAGCATGAAAAGTAGGTGGAGACATGGATGGAAGATAGGCTGTCAGATTGTTTTCCTTTCTCTTCTTTGCCACTGAGGTAACTTCTGGGATCTGTGAATGCGTGCTTAGTCATTTCCTGCATGTTTCTTTAATCCTTTGCAAGGGCAGGGCTGATGCGAAAGCTGTCATCCTGGATTCCCAGGACCTTGAGAGTTGGGTTAGTAAAGAAGGCATCAGAGTTGATGCCAATAAAAGTGAAGTAAGCTGGTTTAATTCTGGCTTATCTGAATCCACATATTCAACCGAAACCATTCAGGTTATAGCACTCTAGCGAGTTAAAAGGTCCCGGGACTGATTTTTTAAAAAAACTCGCATAATCATTGACTCCAGTTTGATTCAGATTCTCTCCTCTTTCTAACTCCTCCTTCTATCCCATGTTTCAACTCATTTAGGTCTCTAGAGATTTTGTCAACTTTTCTTTAGACCATTTATCCTATTTGTATACCTGTGCATTTAATGTTATTTCCTTAATTGAAGGGAGTAAAATAACATTTGAAAGGGTCTCTTGGGAAAGTAACTAACTGGTATTATTTAGAGATCTGGAATTGCAGCTCATAGATATCATCTTCCTTCTGTCATATATTTTGAGTATTAATAAAAAATATTTTATTTCTGTTAATTTTTCAAAAAGCAAGACTTTTTCTATTCTATTTTTAAAAGAACATAAACCTTGAACATTTTTCTGCTCACTTGGTTGCTATTATCTTTTTCAGCTCCTGAAACTGCACCTGTCATTAGGAATATTGAGAGCTCAAGTCCCGATACTGTGGAAGTCAGCTGGGCTCCACCTCAATTCCCAGGTGGACCTATTTTGGGTTATAACTTAAGGCTAATCAGCAAAAATCAAAAATTAGATTCAGGGACACAGGGAACCAGTTTCCAGTTTTACTGCACTCTACCAAATACAACCTACAGGTAAGAATTAAGTGGTGCAGAGGAAGATAGAACCAGCATGGCTGCAGGCATTATAATTATTTAAGAAATATAAATAAAAATAGTTTAAATGTACTTTGACAAGTGCCACTGACTTCATGATGTTGGGTGGAAGTCATGGTTTTCCTTGGGCTTACATGTTTATTAGATTACAGCATCCTATAAATATTCTCCAGTGTTTCTATTATATTCAAAGGATTCTTGAAAACATGGGTAATAAAGACATTATAAATACCATGAATGTTATTTTTTTCATTTAATCCAACATGAAAAAAATAAAGAGGTAAAGTTCTGTTAAGGATATATATATATTATATATATAAAATTTTAAAGATATGGGGTACAATTCAGGGTTAAGTATTCAAACGTTCATTATGCAGGTACTGTTGTTGATGAGGTGTGCCCCTCCCTACTCTGGTAGTTTCCCTCAACTGCCAATCCCACACCCCTCTCCTGACAGTTTCCCACTACTGCCAAACCCCTTCTTATAGTAATATGGTAATTGTTCAAGGTCTGCTTATGAATGAAAACATAGGGTTCTCTGTTCTTTGATTCTGTGATAGATCCCTAAGTATGATCGACTCTAAATTCATCCAAGTTGCTGCAGAGTCCATAGGTTTGTCCTTTTTCATGACTGTATAATATTCCATTGTGTGTATGTACCACATTTTTTAAAGCAATCCGGCTTCGATGGGCAGCATGGTTGGTTCTATGTTTTGGCTATTGTGAATAGAGCTGCAACAAACATGCGTGTGCAGGTCTCTTTTTTGTAGAATGACTTGTGTTCCTTCGGGTATACTCCCAATAGGTGGATTCTTGGATCATATGGAAGGGCAATTTCTAGTTCTTTCAGAAATTGCCACACTGTCTTCCAAAGAAGTTGCACTGGTTTGCATTCCTACCAGCAGTGTAGAAGCATTCCTTTTTCTCTGCATCCTTGCCAGCATCTGTCGTTTTTTGTTTTATTAATGATGGCCATTCTTACTGGGGTTAGGTTGTATCTCATTGTGGTTTTGATTTGCATTTTTCTGATGATTAGTGAGGCTGAGCACTTTTTCATGTGTCTGTTGGCTGCCCATGTATCTTCTTTTGAGAAATGTCAATTCATGTCTTTTGCCCACTTTTTAATGGGGTTGTTTGTTTTTTTTCCTTTCAGCACATTTGAGTTCCTTATAGATCCTAGATGTTCGGCCTTTGTCAGATATACAGTTGACAAATATTTTTTTTCCATTCTGTGGGCTGTCTCCCTGCCCTCTTGATGGTTTCTTTTGCTTTGCAGAAGCTTGTCAGTTTGATGAGGTCCCACTTGTCTATCTTCTCTCTTATGGCATGGGTACTTGGGGTTTTGATCAGGAATTGGATGCTGGATTCAATTTTCATAGAGGTGTCTCCTGCATTTTATAAGATTCTCATAGTTTGAGGTTTTATGTTTAGGTCTTTGATCCATTTAGAGTTAATTTTTGTGTATGGTGATAGGTAGGGATCCTGTTTCAATCTTCTACATGTGATTAGTCAGTTTTCCCAGCACCATTTACTGAATAGATTCTCTTCTCCCCAGTGATTATTGTTGGAGGCTTTGTCAAAGATGAATTGGTTGAGAAATTGAGGCTTTGCTTCCAGAATCTCTATTCTGTTCTATTGATCTATATGCCTATTCTTGTACCAATACCATGCTGTTTTGATTTCTATAGCCTTATAGTAAAGTTTGAAGTCTGGAAGTGTGATGATACTTCCTGCTTTGTTTCTTTTGCTAAGAATTGTTTTGACTATTCATGGTCATTTATGTTTCCATATGAATTTCTGTATTGTCAATTCCAGGTCTGAGAAGAATGATGTTGTTAATTTAATGGGTATTGCATTGAATCTGTAGATTGCCTTTGGTAGGATGGACATCTTCACAATGTTGATTCTTCCTATCCATGAACATGGAATATTTTTCCATTTGTTTGTGTCTTCTTGAATTTCTTTGAGCAATATTTTGTAGTTCTCATTGTAAAGGTCTTTCACTTCTCTGGTTAGGAAGATGCCAAGATATTTCTTTTTTTCTATGGCTATTGTGAATGGGATTGTGCTTTTTATTTGGTTCTCCACCTGCTTTTTGTTGGTGTATAAGAATGTAACTGTCTTTTGCACATTTATTTTGTGCCTTGAGACTTTGCCAAAGTCCTTTATCAGTGAAAGCAAGTTTTGACAGATTCTCTTGGATTTTCTAGGTATAGGATCCTGTCGCCAGCAAAGGGGGATAATTTGACTTCCTCTTTTCCTATTTGGATACCCCTGATTTCCTTCTCTTGTCTAATTGCCCTAGTTAGGACTTCCAACACAATGTTGAACAAGAGGGTTGAGAGTGGACAGCTTTGTCTTGTTTTCAGGGGAAATGTTTCCAGCTTCTGTTCATTTTGCAATATGCTAGCTGTGGGTGTATCATAGATGGTGCTCACTATTTTGAGGTATGTTCCTTCTATACCCAGGTTTTAAGGGTTTTTATTAAGAAGGAATGCTGGATTTTGTCAAAAGTTTTTTTCTACATCTAATGATATAATCATGTGGTTCTTTTTATATCTGCGGATGTATTTAATTACATTTATGGTCTTGTGGATGTTGAAACAGTCCTGCATTCTGGGGATGAGGCCTTCTTGATTATGGTGGATGATTTTTGAGATGTGTTTTTGGATACGATTTGCTAGAATCTTGTTGAGGATTTTTGCGTCTATGTTCATAAGGGATATTGGCCTGTAGTACACTTTTTTGGTTGGATTTTTACCTGGTTTGGGTATCAGTGTTATGTTAGCTTCATATCTAGCATTTATTATGACCTCTTTTACTTAGAAGAGGAATGGGGTCATGCAGATAGCAGAGTTCAGTTTTGACCTCTGTGACCCTGAACTGTTCTGTAGGGAATGCAAACGAGCATGTGATTTATGGTCATTTTAGTGCTGATTGGTGGCACCAAGTAACTAGATATATGCATTGCCACATCATTTTTTAAATAGAAATATTATTGCTTCTTCTATTTTTATCTTGTGTTCACACCATGCCATGCAAAACACATCTCTCCAAATTGTTTTTGGAATAGGTTTTCTATTGCAGCAGTAAATGAAGTTGGTGAGGGTCCAGAAGCAGAATCCAGCATTACCACCTCATCCCCAGCAGGTATGGCCTAGGCTCATTCCTTCTGTTACACAGGAATAAGGGTGGCAAAGGTGGGTTCATATCCAGAGGCCCTGGGTGGTCTAGTAGACCTCAAGAGCCCACTTCTTCTTCACAAACAACAATGATTGTCTTTTGGGTACTTGACAAGTTTTTAATTTTAAATAAATCTAAGTATTTGACAAACAAAGAAGTGGTTAGATTAAAAGTTTTCATGTTAGATTTTAGAAATTTAAAATTCACAATAAAAAAATTTAAGATAAAAAAATGGCCTTAAACAAATCTTTGGTTTCAGTGGAAATTTCTAGTGATTGTGACTCATATTTTCACACTTAGGGAATGCTAATAATCTTTCTGTCTTAATCTCCATCTTACAGTATAGCTCGTCATTTAATACATATCTTTTTTCCCATATGTAACTTTTCCCCAAGTATCCTTAAGATTTTAAAATATATTCGACTTTAGTAATTAACATTTTACCACTTGAATATTCAACTTGTCAAATTATCTTTTCTTATATTTTAATAAGTACCCTTCTTTAGCTTTGTATTGCTTTGAGAGATCGAATATTTACTGTGTAATATATGTGAACAATATAATAAGTGAAAGTGCTTTCTAAGAAACAATGAAAATTCTGGGGAATCTAGTAAAAGGGTTTAGAATAACACACAAGGAGTTAGAATTCGAGGAGTCTGTTTTATATTTTCACTAGAGCCCCATTTGCTGACTTGACTGCCCCTTACTCTAATCTGTGCATACCTATGCCAGTGGGTATTAAATGTCATCTATCACCAGCCTTTAGTTTTTTGGCTGATCCTGTACTCTAGGAAAGGAGAGGTATTTTTGTTATGCAAGAAGCATGTCCAAAGGGCAAGTTAAATATAGAGCAGAGTTAAGGTGGTTGTTACTGTGATTATTGCATAACATTTATTAATTGCCCGAAAAATGTTCACCCATACACTCTGCCTCAGTCTCCAATTGAACAGGACATCAGGCAGAGTTCTGGAACCCTATAAGGATGTTTATCTTGCATCAGAGGGAGAGATGCTGTAAACAACACAGAGACAACCAACATCTGTTTCTATGTGTATGTTATGCAATAATCCACTCTGGCCCAGAGTAGACCACCTCCACCAAGCAATTCTCATGGCTGACAGTAACAAACGGAGGTGCTATTGGGACAAGGCTGTTGAGAACATTGGTACCTCATGTGATATTATTCTGAAGTATTTAGGAAAGCATACACAAAAATCCTACTTGTACTTCCTGCCTCCAATCATGGAATAATGTGGTTTATACTATAGATGCACTGACCCAGTGTCTTTAGAGAAAATTTGACCAACCTCTTTCAAGCATTAGTTCCCTTGCTTTGAAGGGTAGTTTTGATCTTTTTTGGGTTACTGTAAATATGACTGGTCTATACATCTGCAAATCATGTTGTTTTTCTCAGTTCAAGAAGCGGAACAGTGGCTCTTTTTATCCAGAAAATCTTCTCTAAGAAAGAGATCTTTAAAACATTTAGTAGATGAAGCACATTGCCTTCAGTCGGATACTATACACCATAATATTACAGGTTAGTATAGTAGACAGAAATAACTCCTTAGTATGAAAAGAAAGATCTAGACTTTCTAGAAAAAATACTTCTAAAATAAAATAATATTAGAAGAATATTTTTCTAATATTTATAGAATTTATTCTTCTAATATCTAATATACTAGTGTATTAGAAGATAGAATAACTTTTTTCTAAAATAGACAACTTCTGTTTTATTTTCTTTATTAAACATTAGAGAACTACATTCTCATTCATGTAAGTTTTTCATCTTGGTTGCTATGTAATAATGTATATGTACTTGCATGAGTCTTCTAGGAATATCAGCTGATGTCCACCAGCAAGTTGTTTACTTCTCTGAAGGAACTCTCATATGGGTGAAGGAGGCTGCCAACATGTCTGATGTGTCTGACTTGAGGATTTTTTACAGAGGTTCAGGATTAATTTCTTCCATCTCTGTAGACTGGCTTTATCAAAGACTGTATTTCATCATGGATGAACTGGTTAGTCTGAGAATTTAAAGTTAATAACTAGATAGTGATAGTGATATGCATATCTTAGTATATTTACAAGTAAACATCATTCTCTCATTCAATAAATACTCAAGTGCTAACCATGCTTTAGACACTAAGTTATCAATGAATCATAGATATGACCTATAGGAACATCTAGACTTGAACCTAACTTCAAGCCACTTTTATTTATGATTTTTTTAGAGTCATGAGTTGCATGAATGATAATTCATATTCCATAAGATAGTGGTAGTACCTGTGTTATTAGGTAGGACTGCCAGTCATGATCAAAGGTAACTGCACACATTTTAAATTATATAACAACAGGAGGTAATTTTAGTAGGTCTCTGAATATACAGTAGTACTAAAATCATTGAGAAGACACAGTCTTGATGTGTCTTAAGTTCTTCTTTTTTGGAATATACAAACTTTCCATGATGAGCAAAAGCCATCATCATGACTGAAAGGCCATAAACTCGGATCCAGCTTAAATGTTAAAAATAGTTGAGTGCCTCCACAAGCCGGGAAAGTAGGCCCTTGTATTGAATTGATGTCGTTTATAAATTTATTAGGATACAGGATATAATACTGCCTTTTAAGGGTTTGTTTTTGTTTATTTTGGAAAGTGCTCAGTGACTAGCACAACTCGAAGCACAGAACAGTTGCTCAGGAATACATGTTGGCTGAATTGAATACTGCATAGACAAACGCTAATCCTACCAATTTATTTTTTATTTTCTAGGTATGTGTCTGTGATTTAGAGAACTGCTCAAACATTGAGGAAATTACTCCATCTTCTATTAGTGCACCTAAAAAAATTGTGGCAGATGCATACAATGGGTAAGGGTTAGCCTTGTAAAGACCAATTCTCTTCCATTGACAAGCATCTTTGGGAAATTTGTTTCTTAATGAAGCATTGTAGTACTAGATGGACCAATCTATGCAGCTCATTTTAAATAAATTTAATTAAATCCAGGCAATGTTTTCATTCTGTAGAACCAGAAAGACATTTTTTTTGTCCAAACTTGATCAACTCCTCCACTAGTAAAGTAATTGTTCCTCTCCTCTTCACAGCCAAGTATGGGCATATGGGAAAGACTTCTTGTCTGGAATTCAGAGACCTTGTTTTAGTCCTGTATTTGTCACTTCTTTATGGTGAGACTTAGGAGACTCAAGGTCTCATTGCCCCCTCAACACTCCTTGTGAGAAGCCTCTTTATGTCACCCGTTCCTTTTGCTGACCAATTCAGCTCTAGTTCTCACATCTATCAAGAGGCTCTTTAACAAGAATCTACTAGTATCCACTTTAGGAGATGGGAATTGATGGTTACTAAAAAAGTAAAAATTTCCAATTGCAAATACCCTCTCCTCCAACCCCAGGGACAAAGGAAATGGACACAATGCAATTGTGCTGTTAAATTGAAGTAGTACCTGGAGCATGACATGTCATGGTCGTGTCTGTGACCATCAGCTGATCAATCCACAAAGGGAAGGTAATAATACTTCCCAGTTGGTTAATTTCAAGGATGAAATGAGATATTCACTGTGAATATATTTTGTGAATTTCAAATGCACGTTAATATAAAAGATAAAAATATAGAAGTTTATTTTGAGGTTATTATTTCTCAAATATGACCAGATAATAATAGATTAATAGTAAGACCAATGTTTGAGAGGTTAAACATTTTTCTTATAGGAATAAAGTTGTTTTCATGTCAAATGTAAAAAATAAAGCCATAACACTTCTTTGTTTTTCACAAATTGGCCTTTCTGAAAAATTTTGTTCATTATTGCTATAAAAATCAAGTTTTTATATTCCTATTCATTCACAATTTACTAAAAACTTGCTTTAACATCTTGGATTATAGAATATTTCAAAAGACCTTGTTATGTAGAGCAAGGACTCTCTGGATCTTATTTTCCTCATTTGTGAAGGTCTATGATCCCATAAAATGTAAACTTGCTGGCAGTTTTACAAAATGACTCATTCTGAGGATAATCAACTTCACCCACTAATCAATCATTCAAATTCATTTCAGCAAAGCCTTCATTGTCTCTTTTTCCCATCAGAATACAATTAATTTGTGCTCAGGTTTGAAAATATGATAAGAAATTATCATGAAAATTAATATTTACACTTAATATGTGTTTCTAAGTGTAATTCATTCAATTCTTTTTCAACCTTATGAGGCAGGTACTTTTATTATTCTAACTTTACAGACAAGAGAAGGGAAGTACAGGTTGATTTCATAATTGTCTGAGATCACACAGCTATCTTGCAATGGAACCAGTACTGGACTTCTTGCTCCAGTGACTGACTTCTAATCATCTCCCTACCATCTTGGGAAAGTTTCTGTAAAAATCAGCTTGTAACTTTAACAACAGTTTGTAGATAGTATTTCTAAGGGGCATCGAATGTGTGAAACAGTGAATTCTTCTGATATATATATATACATTTTTTTGAGTTGGAGTCTTACTCTGTCGCCCACACTGGAGTGCAGTGGCCGCTCCCGGCCACCGCAGCCTCGACCTGCTGGGCTCCGGCGATCCTTCCGCCTCAGCCTTCCAAGTAGCCGTAATTATAGGCATGTGCTACCACACCCGGCTGATTTTTTGATTTATTATAGAGATGAGGTCTCACTGCCCAGGCGGGTCTCGAACCCGTGAGCTCAGGCAATCCACTCACCTCAGCCTCCCAAAGGTGTGGGATTACAGGCTGAGCCACCGAGCCCGGCTAATTCTTCTGATATTTAAACTATTTCCCTTCCTGCTATTATTTTCACATTATTAAGTTATTCCCTCATTGAGTATGTACTTATCATAAAGTCTCTGCTCTTCCCTTCAGGGTCCCCTTCTGCCCCACCTTGGCTTCTCCTTCTTCCCCTTCTGTCTTCTTCCTCCCATAACCCAGATCTCCTTACCTTCCTTTTCTATTTCTTTCCCTTTCAATGTGGTGATCAAGTTAAAGACCTACACTCCTTCCTGCTTCAGTACATTAATTGGAATTTTTACTCCAGATATTTTTTCTTTTATCTGCTCTGAAATTCCTCCAAATTCCACTAACAATTTGAATTTGGGAAACAAAAGCAGGAAGTTAAGAGTCAACCTATTTCTGCTTAAGACAAAGAACATAGCTTGATATCTCAAAATGGAGCTTTTATCTCAGGATATTATTCTAGCATAGGAATCTTGAGCATGTTGATAAAGATTTACAGTAGTCATCAAGGGAAATAAGAGTGGAAATAAATAAGGATGAGGAAAATGATTTGACCATTGTGATGAGTGGCTGGAATGCTGCCAAGCCATGGGGTTGTGATAAGAAGAATGTACCAAGCAAAAGTATGCTTCTGTTAGCAACTGTCACCATGATGACAAGTTCTAAATTCACTACATCCAAATTGATACTTTCATGTTTTACTTAAAATTTTATTTACAGGTTTGGTTATCAATGAATATTTTGACAGTGTGTTTTCTTTTTTCACTATTAAAAGATTATCTCCCTTATTACTAAAAGGTTTGACTCCAAGTTAGGCATGCTTCTTTAATTCTTCCATGGACACCTTTTTACTGATTGCTGTTGCTTTGGTCATTTGTAGGGTATTTCTTCATGGTTTGTAAAATGGTGCTTCTATCACCTGACTCAATTATAGGCTTTCAAAAAAAATTAGTGCACTACAAATGCAAAGTAGTTATGCTAAATAGTTACAGCAAAAATGTTAATTGTGTAATTTTAAAAATGGTTTAAATGTTTTGGTTTCTTCTATTTATCATTCACAATGCATGAGAAAATTTCCTGACAGAATTAGACTTATGAATGTGTGAATTTTGGAGGAAAAGGTTTTATAGTCAATACTATGCTTAGACATGTAATTTTTATATATTATGCTTTTCTTTAAAAGTTTTGAAGATCTTTCTGTTCTTAAATTTTATGAATTTATATAAGTCACTTATAACAATTAAGAGACTAAACATTAAAGGTGAGGCCAAAATTTTCCAGTGTTACAACTTCTAGCAGGCATATCTTTAGTAACTACTATTTGGCACCTTAGGAAATTCTGTACTTAGCATCTCCAGTGATGTATAGGTCTGACTGTACAAGATGAAGCAGTTAGCTGAGGTGATTACTCACCCCCTTTCCCATGAATCACAGCAGGCTTCTTTTGCTTCTATGCCAGGTATGTCTTTTATCTCCTGTGTGATGGCATTTATAGAACAGACCTTCCTGTGCCATCCAGTCGGGACACACACACAATGCATATCGTGGAAAGTTACACATTAAAGGACTTTGCAGTAAAGCCACAGGCCAAGAGAATCATTTACTTCAATGACACCACCAAAGTCTTCATGTCAACCTTTCTGGATGGCTCCGCTTCCCATCTCATCCTACCTCATGCCCTTTTTGCTGATATGAAGAGCTTTGCCTGGGAAAACAATGACTTCCTTGTCACAGATGGCAAGGCTGTTTTCCAACAGGATACTTTGTCTTTTAATGAGTTCATCGTGGGATGTGACCTGAGCCACATAGAAGAATTTGGGTTTGGTAACTTGGTCATCTTCGGCTCATCCACCCAGCTGCACCCTCTGCCAGGCCCCCCTCTGGAGCTCTCAGTGCTGTTTGGCTCTCACCAAGCCCTTGTGCAGTGGAAGCCTCCTGCCCTCGCCATAGGAGCCAGTGAGTGCCTGGTGCTGAGGTTATTGGCCTTGCTGGAAGGACAGGAAGGCTTGCACTGCTTGGCATTGTGATTCAGTTTTGAGGGCCTAAGTGTGGTTACTCAGTCACTGACCAGAAGCAGCCACTTAGTTAAAAATTATGTGTTTATGTATTCGTTCTGCATTTCTTCATTTTGCATTAGGAGAATCTCTATATACTTCCCATGTATATCTCAATAGAATAGTTTGAACCTTTACTGAGCATCTGCTAAGAACCAGACATTGACATTTTAGCCAGAGTAAAAGCAGGGGAAAGAATACTTGGGTTGAGACTTATGTATACATCAAGACATTGCAAGAACTTGAATCATTCCCAAACACTTTCTGAACTGAATCTTCAGCTCTGAAAAGGCAGTGTGTGGGGCGGGTAAACAGGTGGGCACGGGAGTCAGAGTGGATTCCAATACTGATCTGGAAATGTATTAGCAGAGTGACCCTGGGAGCATTATCTAATCACTCTGTGCCTCAGTTTCCATAACCGGAAAAGGGAAATATTTATTGTATCTTTTTATGGAACTGTTGTACAGATGAAATTAAGGTATACATGTGTAAGTAGAACACTTAGAACAATATCTAGCCTAGAGATCAGCAAACTTTTTCTGTAAAGGAAGGACCAGATAGTAAATAAGTTTAGCTTTGCGGGTCAGATGGTCTCTCTTAAGCTACTCAACTCTGCTGTTGCAGTGTGAAAACAGCCATAGATAGTATGCAAATGAATAACTGTGACTGTGTTCCAGTACAGCTTTGTTTACAGAAACAGTGGGCTGTATATGGCCTGTAGGCTGTCATTTGCCAACTCCAAGTCCTCTAGTCAATAGTAAGTATTTAGCAAACATTGGCTATTTTTTGCCTTAGATAAAATTAATTATGCCTTCTTGGTGCATATCTCAAAGATGACTAAACATGAATAGGCATTTTTTCCCCTATTAATTGGGCTTCTCAGAGTAAGGTATCACATTGGGAATTATATTAGAGCGTCATCATCAAGCACTTCTTATAAAGAGCCTGATAATACCTGGTAATGTTGCAGAGAACCCCTCTGACAATTCTATGCAACACACCTGTAACTCTGACTGAAGGATAGCCTCATTTGTTGGGAATGATGTCTTCAGTGGAGCAAAATAGCAGCAAGAGAGGAATGGACACTGTCCTAGCCTTTTCGATAAGCTAACCCTGGCGATGAGTGGGCTAGTGGGTATTACTATTGATCTCTCATCTGAGGTGAGGCTGGAGATGAATTTTCTGATTATCTTTGGTTTGCCTTTGCTGATGTCATCCTGGTCAGTGACATTGTTGAATTCTTCTAATTAGGCCCTTCTGCCTGGCAGAACTGGACATATGAGGTGAAAGTATCCACCCAAGACCTTCCTGAAATTGCTCATGTTTTCTCTAACATACATGGGACCACACTGAATATACCTGAACTGGAGAGTGCTACAAAATACAAGGTTTCTGTGAGAGCAAGTTCTCCCAAGGGACCAGGCCCCTGGTCAGAGCCCATGGTGGGTACTACCCTGGTGCCAGGTGAGCAAATGTTCTGAATTTAGAGAACGATTCTGACAAAAAACAGACTTAGCCTGAGTGTCATTTAAAATTCCTCTCCTTAAAAGTGATAAATGTGGTGTATTGACTTCTTGGGTATATATTTATTGTCTGAGATTAGGAAAGCAAATAAAAGACTGTGTGATATTTAATTGATGTTTCTAATCTGTCGTTTTAAGCTTTCCAAGATATTTTTGAGAAAACAATCATTTTCTTCTTCTTCATGGGTTTATTTTTTTCAGTAGCATTCCTGAACTCTGAAGGGCTTGCTGAGAGAAGTTGTACTGAACTCCATCCTCTGGTTGAAATAAAAATGGAAGGATAACTGTACCATTCTGACTGCTATTGCTATCACAATTGCATCTGGCTGCTATGAATAGGACTGTGATGAGCAACAGTCCCTCCACTCCCCCCCCAAAAAATTCTGCCATTGATCATGACGCTGTCGAAGAGGCAGCATCACCATACATTTGTCTTCATATTCAATTTTAAATATTTGCATACAAATCGGAAAGTATGTTTAATACTATCAATCATACCCTATTCAGCACATAACATTACTCATATCCTTCCACAGTATTTTTCAAAACATTGATATCCTTTTCCTTTATTAAAAATTTGTAGGATATAAGACATGTGCTTTAAAGGTATGCTGTCATATTTCTTTTAATTTCTTTTTTACCAAACAGCTATGGAACCACCATTCATCATGGCTGTGAAAGAAGATGGGCTTTGGAGTAAACCATTAAATAGCTTCGGCCCAGGAGAGTTCTTGTCTTCTGATATACGAAATGTGTCAGGTAAACACCAAGTCCCTTGTTCACTTGGATGACAGGTTTCTACTTATAAGTCTTCTCACGTTATTCAACAAGTCAAAAGAATTGAGTGTTTTGGTATTAGGTCAACAGTGAAAGGAAAAAAATACTGACTGAACTCTACTGCCAGTGATATTGTTAAGAAAATATCAGTTATCAAGTATGAATGCTATGTACTAATTCACAGAATATGAGGTTATTTATACTCACTTTGGGGAGGCTTTGACATAAGTGCATGTGTTAGTCTATCAGTCATCTATTTTGTTCCACTAAGACAGCTATACCTAAGTAATTCACCATGGGTTTGCTGTAAGACTGGAGCAAGAAACTGCTGCATAGACTTCTAAATAAGATGTAAGAAAAATATTTGTTAACAAAGAAGATTATTAGTGAATGGTTAATTTACCTAGAAGGCATTAGAATGAAAAGTCTTCATCCTAGGATGGTATAACAGTAATCTTGCCTAAAGATGGCATCTTCTATAATTATGTGATTATTTTACTGCTTTGTTTGGCTGTTAAAATTACAACAGAATTTCTGATCAATATAGGAGCTGGACTTAGGAGGTAGCACGGGCTAATGAAAGGAATGTCACATTGGGGTTAGTTCTAATCTGGGCTCCCCCTGTTTTCATCTATGAGACCTTGGACAGAATAGATAACCTTACCTTGTCTCGGATTTGACACCTCAAAATGAGGATGCTTCCTACTTCATAACCTTGCTTCAGGAGTTAAGTGAGATAAGTAAAGTGCCTGGGACAATGTTTGGCAAAGACAGTGTTTTGCTCAGTGTATGTTAGTTCCTCTCCCCAGTTCAAGGGCTTACGATTTAGGGATAGCACTGAAATATTCTTCACAGATTCTTGAAGTTCTAGTGAATATCTATGTTAGTATGTGCTTTAAAATTATATTGAAGTGTAGATGTGATTGTTGACTCGCCATGTTTTTGTTGGTATATGTGAAAAATAACTGTTAACGATTCACTTTGTTTTGAGACATGGATTGGTATAACAACAGCCTCTACTACAGCAACATGAAAGGTGATGTTTATGTGTGGCTGCTGAATGGGAAGGATATTTCAGAGAATTATCACATACCCCGCATTGCAGGAGCAGGGACTTTAGCTTTTGAGTGGCTGGGCCACTTTCTCTACTGGGCTGGAAAGACATATGTGGTGAGTTAAAGCCTGATCTTCCAGATGCTGTAGTACAATACGCTTCAGTGACTTACAGGCTATTTTCAAGATTTTTTTTATACTTGTGTGCCACTTATGCTATTATTTTTAAATATTTGTCTTTAAATTTACTCACTTTAAAAATGCATGTATATATAAATGAAATTTGATCTTACTATTTGTTGTACTAGTGTTTTATTTTCAATAATACATTAAAATAAATGCATTTACATGCTCACCTGGGGGTCAGGATCTTGGCAGGAACATGGCACAATTTAAAGGCATGGCTCAAGGAAACTAAGTGAAAGGACTATTTTCAAAGGTGTGGACAGGGCTAAGTAAAATGAACAAGGGTGGTGAGGCATCCCCAGGACTAGTAAGTATGGGAAGATGTAACTCCAGTTGTGAAGATGCAAAGGGAAGCAGGAGGGTAGGCAAGTATTTGCCATTTCTGAATAAATTTACTTCCCTTATCTTTAGAGACATGAAAAGAGATAAACCTCATGAGAGCAGATGCCATGCCTTTTTGTTTGTTGTTATGTTTTCAAGGCTTAATTCACTACTCAGCACATAGTTTGTGGTTGAATGAATGCATAGATAAATGCAGCAGTTTACTAATGTTTTCAATAAACTATCAGAAATAATGATGTCCTTTGAAGGTCATTAACTGACCAACTATTATGTTTTGTAGATACAAAGGTTGTCTGTGTTGACAGGGCACACAGATATTGTGACTCATGTAAAGCTGTTGGTGAATGACATGGTGGTGGATTCAATTGGTGGATATCTGTATTGGACCACACTCTACTCAGTGGAAAGCACCAGGCTAAATGGAGAAAGTTCCCTTATACTACAGGCACTGCCTTTGCTTTCTGGGAAAAAGGTGACACATTAAAAATAAGATCTGATCACTTAATAATACTAAATGGTGCTGTTCTGTTGTTATGGTAATACTGTCTCTGCTTATCTTGAATAGTTAAGGTAGAATCTTAGAGGAAATACTGTTGCAGTAATATCTTGGTATAACCAAAATTTATCTAAGCCTTATTTGATGGTCATAGTTGACTTAAATTCACATACAATATGGAGATTTTTGTAGTTTGCTTTGGTTGTACCCATACTTTAAAGCATTTTGAGTTCTTAAACTGTTTTAATAGTCTTAAGGACTTCTAGTGACTATTTTAGAGCTTTCTATTGGGTGGTGATTAGATGTTTTATTTTCAATCAGTTTTTGTACTGACTGTTCTAAAAACTGTATGATGCCTAGAAAAAATATTTTATCTGTGTCTGTTTCCTTATCTGAAAAATGGGACTGTTAAATTATCCTACCTTTAAGTGTTGTTATGAAAATTATATGAGATAATTCATGTGAAATAGTGGAAATAGTTTCAGGCACATAGTAAATGCTCAGTAGTTAAGCTTCTATTATTGCAACTCAATTTGAAAATAGGATACAGGAATGATTCTATAGCAAGTGTTACTTTTACTTCCTCAATTTCTAGTAGCAATGCCATTTTCCCTGAACTTGTTTGGCTATCCCCAGGCATCTATTTAAATTTATGAATCTTATTTTTGATCATAATAGTTATATAGGTCTACAGTAGGAAAGTTAGAAATTAAGGAAAAGCATTAAGAAGAAATAAATCACTCATACTTTTTCTACCCAATACATCCCTTATATTTTTTCTTTTTTTTTTTTTGAGTTGGAGTCTCACTCTGTCACCCAGACTGGAGTGCAGTGGCTGCTCCCGGCCACCGCAGCCTCGACCTGCTGGGCTCCGGCGATCCTTCTGCCTCAGTCTTCCAAGTAGCTGGAACTACAGGAGCGCGCTACCATGCCCAGCTAATTTTTTTTTTTTTTATTTATTGTAGAGATGAGGTCTTGTCAAGTTGCCCAGGGGTCTCTAACCCGTGGGCTCAGGCAATCCACTCACCTCAGCCTCCCAAAGGCGCGGGATTACAGGCTGAGCCACAGAGCCCAGCTATATTTTTTCTTATTTTTAAAGCCTTTTTTTGTGGAGATAAAATATAGACAATGCAGAATTCCAGATCATTTAAAAATATATGTATACATATGAACTAATTGTTGAGTCACTTGATCCCTAGTTCCAATAGGCTATATGGGCTATGATTCCTAAGATAGTTACAGACCTAAATTACATACACAGATTATCATACAGGTTTTTGAAAGGGATAGATATTGATGTACCATATCCAAAGATTAATCATTCCTGTGAAATAATGAAAAGGTCCCTGAATTTTGTTTTGGAACTGCTAGAGTTTGAAATTTAAAAAGTGTATTTTTTATGTCTCAAAGATAATTGTTAGGGAAAGTACTTGCACATTTTGTAAAAACATATTGGAGGTAACATTACATCAAGAGTAACTTGCTCTCTAACCCCGGGCCTTTGTCAGTAATCTTCCCACTTCTCTGATAAGGATGTTTGAGTACTCTCTTCAACCAGGAAAAAGCTCTAAGTAACCCTGGGGACTTTTCCATAATTGAGTGAGTCATTAGATTTCTCAGCATGTTTGGGTGATTATACCCTTTAAATTCCTATTCCAAATCCTCTCCCAGACTGGTGAGTGCTGTTACTGCTTTTGCAAATCTGTGTTCTGGTTCCAAGGTTTGCTGTCTGATCTATCTACCTCCAATAGTGCTACTGGATGTTTTAAAGACAACATGTTTTTGCATCCAACAAAGTTCTCCATATCGATGTCATTCATTTGTGTCATTCACAGATTTATCATGCAGTAATAAGATACTTCATTATCAGCAGATATAATGTCAATTATTTATAGAAAGGCATGATTATTTGTGTGATGAAAAAGGAGAATAAAGTAAAAGATTCATCTAGAGTGAAAAGATACTTTTTGCCTTATCTGATGAGTTCAACTAATAGTGTATAGTACATTTCACTGTAGAACTAAACTTTAAAATATGAAGATTTTAGTTTAGATCAAAGAGTTTGTGTTAAGATATGAATGTTACTAGACACAACAATGGTTACCAAAGATTTATGGAATCTCCTCCAACTCTGTTTACATATAGGACTGATGACTGGTGCAGAAGAATGGGATAAGGATCTAATATCTGAATTTACTTATGGTCTGAGTAGTTTGTTGTATTCCACAAAAGGAGTTGTAGAATCTCCTTCTTTAAGGAGATAGAGTTAATTTGAAATTTAGAAACTCTAGTACATCTCTTTATAAATCACCACACAAGATTAACCTGATTTCACTTTAATGGAAAAAAGAAATCAATAAATCTCTTTTAACATGAAGCAAGGACATGACTCAATTCCTAAAAGACTGGGCATTGCTAGAATAGACTTGTATCTTCTAGGGAAAGAGTTAGTTGAATTTTCTTGAAAATAGATGGCTGTGATTTACATGACAACTGAAGGGTTCTTGCAGTCATGTGCCATATTCTTTGTAGCAGGGTAACCTGTCAGGAAGTATTTTTCATTGTTGGACATCTAACTGTATTCTTTTCACATTTTGACTGGCTTCGGTTTTTTTTTGTTTGTTTAAATGCTGTTTTATCTTGCTAAAGATGTAGCTGTCAACTTTGATCCTATCTGATATCTCTCAGCCTCTAGGTCTGCTATAGGGAGATGCCACCACTCTGAGATAAGCCTCTTGGCAATCCCAGCTTATTTGAGAAAGCCAAAAAGCCAAAGAAAGCAAGAGAAGGATCTTTGAATAGTAACTTATCTTCGTGCATTCTATTCTGTAGGAGAAGCAGTCTTTCTTCAGGTCTCATCTAGACAACTGGACATATAATTAAGATATGAATTGCAACAAGAAGACAGAGTAGTAAGAAGTGGTTTTCAGATGTCATCTGGTAGCAGAGCTTTATAAATACATGACTACCTGATTTTAACACATAAACACCCTATGTATGATCTTTGTAAAGTGTATCAGGATGTTTTTGATTGCAATGAACAGAAAATACAATTTGAGATGGTTTAAACCATCGGCAGTGCACTGAATCACTTCAGGAGTTTAAAAACATACTGGATACTGGGATGCTTCCCTAGAGGTTATACTTTAATAAGGAGCACTCTTAGAATTGAGATTAAAAAAACCTCACAGATGATTCTGATGTGCGGCAATGTTTAATTATGGGTTTAAGCAACAACAAAATTCATTGACTCATGTGGTAAAGACTCCAGTGTTATGGCTAGCTTTAGGCAAGGTTTGATTCACGCAAAGTTTTGGAATCAGTAAGTCTGGAGTGTAGTTGAGGATTTGTATATGTCTCAAGTTTCCATGTGACGCTGCTACTGCCAGTCTGAGAAAGATACTTCGATAACCACTAGAGCTGCCTTCTGCGGAACTTTAAGACACCAGCACTTATATCCAGATAACAAAGTAATAAGCATAGTCATACTATTTTTATATTCAGAAAAAGGTAAATATTATTGAATTTATTCTTCCAAAGAGGATATTAAAGAAAAAAACTATAGCTTAGGTGTGACTTATTCACACAGATATGCCTCAAACATGTATTTGGTTCATTTTCTGACCTTATTTTCTATTTAGGTAGTTGCTCTAACCTTAGACCTCAGTGATGGGCTCCTCTATTGGTTGGTTCAAGATAGTCAATGTATTCACCTGTACACAGCTGTTCTTCGGGGACAGAGGTAAGTAGGAGCTCTCAGGGGCAATTGGTTGAGAAGAAGAGAACAACTTCTCAGTTATAAGTGATAATGCATAAAAAGTATTTATTTCTTCAATAAATATTTACTAATTACTTCCTGTATTGCAGACATTGTACTTATGGGGAAAGATAGATTTGTAAACAACTAATTGCAGCAGGTTGTGGCAAGTGCTGTGATGGGGCAGTGGAGACACTAAGGATAGTGCTGCTCAAGAGCCCAAGAAGTGTGTGAATACATTTTTCTGCTTCTTAACAAAGTAGAGCGTACATTATGGAGTGAAGGCAGAAATCCTCCCGTGATGTCACAAATGAAAGCTAGGAGTTGGGAAGGACCACATGAGTTATTTTCTTGATCCGTGTCCACAAACTAATCCTCCTGTCCTGCTCTTACTGCTATCTCTACATCTTCTCTGTTGGCACTGTTAGATATTTTTTAAGAATAAAATTTATATTCTTATTCTTAAAAATTAGGTTTAAGATACATAATGTGAAATGCTCAGAGTTTAAGTATTCCATCATATCAATTTTGGCACATGGGTTTTGAATTGTAGAGCATATCCATCATCACAGAAAAGTTCACTTTGCCCCTTCCCAATCAATCCTCCCCCACTCCAGAAATAAGTACTATTTGTATCTTCTTTTACTTGGCATACTACCTTTTGAGATTTATCCATGTTCTTACGTGTCTTAGTTTTTTCTTTCTATTGCTGAGGAGTATTCCTTTGCATGAATATACCATAGTTTGTGTAAAAATTTCATGATAGACATTTAGATGGCTTCCTAATTTTGTTTATCGTGAGTAACACTGTATGACTATTTGCATACAAAGCTTTTTGTAGGTGTATACTTGGATAAATACCTAGGAGTGGAATAACTGAGTGAGAGGGTAGATATATGTTTATATTCTTAAGTGCCTGTCAAACAGTTTTTCAGTGTCTATGCCATTTTGCATACCTACTAAAAATGTGTAAGAGTTTTGTTTGCTCCATATCCTCCTAACGGTTGACTTTAGCAATCTTTTTTATTTTCACCATTCATTGATGTATAGCAGTATGATGACTTCCCTGATGACTAGAAATGTTGACTACTTTTTCATTTGTTATTAGCCATTTAAATATCTTCTTTCATGATGTGTCTGTTCAAGTATTTTTTTCATTTTTCACTGGTTGTCTTTTCATTATTAAGTTTCAGGAGGCATTTATGTGATTTATATATAAGTACTTTGCCAAATGCATGTGCTGTGAGTATTTTCTCTCAGTGTTTGGCTTACCTATTTATTTTCTTGATGTTGTGTTTTGAAGAGCAAAAAATTTTGACTAAGACCAATTTATGATTTGTTTTATTTTATTGTCTATGCTTTTTGTAAGAAAGCTATGCTTATCCCAAGACTGTGAAGATCTTATAGTATGTTTTTTCGGAAAGCTTTATTGTTTTTATTTTTATAATTAAATCTATAAATCCATTTAGATTTATTTTGTGGTATGGTGTGAGGTAGGAGTTAAGGTTTTACTTTGTTTCCCTTTCTGTATAGATATAGAAGGGGAAGTTGTTCTAGCACCATTTGCTGAACATTTCTTTAATTGCTTTGGCACTTTTATTGAAAAGAACTTAGCTGGGTATGTGTGAGTCTATTTCTAAACTCTGTTCTTTTGATATATTTGTTTTTTTGCCCATGCTACATTATCTTGATTGATGTAAATTTAGAGAGAAACTTAAAGATTGGCAAGATTAGGTCCTCCAACTTTGCTTTTCTATTTCAATATTTTTATTTTGGCTATTGATCCTTTGCCTTTCCAAAGCAATTTTAAAATAATCTCACTAATAACTAGAATAATGCCTGCTGGAATTGTAAATATCTTTTCTGTTTAGGAAAAATGGATATCTTAAAATACTGAGTCTTCCAATCAATGAAGATGTTATATATTTCCATTTATTTAGGCTTTATTTAGTTTCTCTCAGTAGTATTTTATAGTTTTCATTGTAGAAGTCTTATACATTGTCCATTAAATTAATTCCTAAGTATTTAATTTTTGATGATTTATAAATAGTATTTAAGAAAATTCTGTTTTCTAAACTTTTTTTTACTAGTATAGAAAAATGCAACTGACTTTTTAAAATATTGACTTTGTGTCTTACACTTTGTTAAATTCTCTTGAATATTCTAGTAGGTTTCTTGTAGATTACTTTAGTAAGAATAGGAGTGGTTTCAGCAAATGAGTTTGGAAGCATTACCTCTTCGTCAACTGGTATTGGTGCTTCCTTAATTTTTTTTTTTTTTTAGTTAGGGTCTCATTCTGTCACCCAGGCTGGAGTGCAGTGGCACACTCATGGCCACCCCAGCATTGACCTGCTGGGCTGCGGCGATCCTTCTGTCTCAGCCTTCCAAGTAGCCGGAACTACAGGCACGTCATACCACACCTGGCTAATTTTTTAATTTATTGTAGAGATGAGGTCTTGCCAAGTTGCTCGGGCTGGTCTCGAACCCATGGGCTCAGGCAATTTACTTGCCTCGGTCTTCCAAAGTGTTGGGATTACAAGCTGAGCCACCAAGCCCGGTCCTTCCTTAAATTTTGATAGCATCAATCAGTGAATCAATCTGGGCTTGGAGTTTTCCCTGTGGGAAATTGTTTAATTACAAATTCAGTATCTTTTAAGGATATAGTCGCTTTTGATAATTCATGCTTTTAAGAAATTTATCATTTTATATTGGTTGTCAAATTTAATTTAATAATACCCTCTCATTATCATTTTAATGTCTGTAGGATCTACAGTGATATCTTCTTATACTTCTGTTATTGGTACATTTTTTTCTTGGTAACTCCTGATAAAAATTTATCAAATTTATTAATCTTTTCAAAGAATCTGCATTTTGTGTTGCTGATGTTCTCTGTCTATTATCTATTCTGTTAATTTTCAATCTTATTTTTATTATTTCCCCTTTAAAATTTATTTTAGGTATAATTTTCTCCTCTTCTAGTTTTTTAAGGAAAGAGGGGAAGTCATTGATTTCACATAATTCCACTCACGAACACGTTGCAGTATTGGCATTTAAAACTATACATTTATTTTAAGGACACTATTAGTTGTATTCCACAAATTTTGGTATGTTGTGTCTTTTGGTCATTCAACACAAAATATCTTTTAATGTCCCTTATTATTTTTCTTTGATCCATGGGTTTTTAAAATTCACATTGTTTAATTTTGAAGTCTTTTGGGATTTTTAAGGCATCTGATTTATATTTAACACCATTGTGACCAAATAACATGCTGTTTAATTCCAATCCTTTGACATTTATTTAGATTTATTTTGTGCTCCAGCACATGCTATATATCATGGTGAATGTTCCACGTACACTAGAGAAGAATATTATTCTGCTTTTATTTGGTGTAATGATCTATAAATACTAAGTAGGTAAAGTTGTTTCACAGTGTTGTTAAAATATTTCATTTTATTTATATTGTCTACCACTGAGAAAGAGATGTTAAAGTTTCTAACTATGATTGTAGATTCGTCTGTAGTTCTCTTTGGTTAATGTATTTGTGTGCTTTATATTTAGTATAATATTGGTTAACTATAGACTTGATTATATTATCTTTTTATCATTATAAAATCTTCCTTTTTATCTATGGTAATACTCCTCATATTAAAGATTACTTTGTCTGATATTACTATAGCCACGCCAGCTTTCTTTCATTTTTGTTTTTTTATTATAAAGACGTGGGGTGCAATTCAGGGTTAGGTATACAAACATTGATTATGCAGGTACTGTTGTTGATGAAGTATGCCCATCCCTCCCCTAGCAGTTTCCCTCAACTGCCAATCCCACTCTTCTCCCCTGACAGTTTCCCACTACTGCCAATTGCTTTCTTATAGTATTATAATTGTTCAAGGTCCACTACGAGTGAGGACATATGGTACTCTGTTTTTTGTTTCTGTGATAGATCAATGAGTATGATCGACTCTAAATCCATCCAAGTTGCTGCAAAGTCCATATGCTTGTCCTTTGTTATGGCTGCATAATATTCCATTGTGTGTATGCACCACATTTTTAAAAATCCAGTCCAGCTTCACTGGGCAACATGGTTGGTTCCATGTTTTTGCTATTGTGAATAGCATGTGTGTGCAAGTATCTTTTTTGTAGAATGATTTGAGTTCCTCCAGGTATATTCTCAGGAGAGGAATTTCTGGGTAGTATGGTAGATCAATTTCTAGTTCTTTTAAAAATTGCCACACTGTTTTCCATAGAGGTTGAACTAGTTTGCACTGCTACCAACAGTGTAGAAGCATTCCCTTTTCTTCACACTCTCGCTAGCATCTGTTGTTTTTTGATTAATTAATGATGTCCATCCTTACTGAAGTTAGATGGCATCTCAATATGGTTTTGATTTGTGTTTCTCTGATGATTAATGAGGCTGAACATTTTTTCATGTATGTGTTGGCTGTTTGTATGTCTTCTTTTGAGAAGTGTCTACTCATGTCTTTTACCTACTTTTTAGTAGGGCTGTTTTTTCTTTCTTTCCACTCATTTGAGTTTGTTGTAGATCTTGGATTTTACAGATATACAGTTAGCATGTATTTTTTCCCATTCTGTGGGTTGTCTCTGTACTCTCCCACTCTCTTGATGGTTTATTTTGCCATGCAAAAATTCTCAGTTTGATGAGATTCCTCTTGTCTATCTTATCTTTTATGGCATATACTTTTGAGGTTATTATCAATAATTACTCAGTGATCTATCACAGAAACAAAGAGCTGAATACCACATGTTCTCACTCCTAAATGGGTCCTGAATACATTCATCAAAATACGACAAGAGAGGGATCGGCAGGAGTGGGACACTGCCAGGGGAGGGGGTGGGGTGGGGCACATAGCATCACTAAGGTACCTGATCCTAAACCAGAGGAAGTGAGAACCAGTGGAAGACCCAAGCTTCACCTGCACATAGACTACTTTTGTACCTAATCCTGACTTGTACTCTACATCTT